CCGGAAGCAGAAGGCACCAAGAAAGGTACATGGCCGCACTAAAACAGCCCACCGGAAAGTGCGTGGCATCACTGATGGGGCAGCATTTGCCGAGGCGTGCAGGGCCACAAACCTGAGCTGGTTGGGTCGCGCCGCTGCCACCTCGCATCCTCAGCAGATTCGAGTCGCAGAGCATTCCCAGCCTGAAATATCTATGCGGGTCCCTGTGCATGGCGCTTGGCCTCAGACAGCACACGTGGGTCGCTTGCCAGCGCGCATCGGCGAGGAGTTCGTGCAGGGCAGGTTTCGGCATGTTTCGGCCCACCAGCACGACACTTTGCGCTTGGGAACAACTCGATGCTGCGATGCACGGTGCGCCGCAAAATGAAATCCTGTTCCATCTCACTGTGCTGCACGCGCGCGAGCCAGCAAAGGGGAGCGGGGATTGCGGGCAGCACAGGCCCCCGGATGTGCAACGGCTCCGCGGCATCTGCCCGTGAAATCCCGTGAAAAAGTCCGCACGCTGTAGTCCCGCACCGTCGCCCATGTCGTCTGTGCACCGTCCAACGCTGCGGGCTGCAACGAGAGGTCCGCCTGTTCGCACCTCAGAGCAAAGCTCTGGTCACCCAGCTGCTGGCCTAGGTCATCACGGCAATTGGGGCACTGCCCATGGTGATGCGCGCAATGCCGTATGCAGGAGAGATTGGCGTACGGGCCACAAGGGCCACAACACGGGAACATGGCGTCGTGCTCGTCGGGGCAAACAGTGACAGGAACAGGGGCAAAAGACACAAACAAAAAAAAAAACGGGGCGTTGCCTCCATCAAAGGGTGTCTCCAGCGAGGGCACAGCCTCGCGAGTCGACAACTCCTTCTCACCTGCTAACCAGCGCATCGCGCATGAGGCCGCCGCAGGCTTCTTCCCAATGCCGGGACTTCCTGCCGATGCCATAGTCCCAGCGCGTCGGCGAGGCCCTCATGCAGGTCAGGCATGCATCGCCAAACTCGGCTGCCGGGCGCCGTATGCGCGCTGCAGCGACGGCGAGCAATCCAGACCAGCGGGCAACCCAGCGCCATTCGATGGTGGACGGGGCGGCGCAGGAGCTGCACGGCTGCGCTGCACCGCGGCAGCGAGTAACAGGGGAAACGATTCTGGCATCAGTCCCGGGAGGCGTCCGTGTCTGACATATGACTGGAACCTGGCGCAGCGGTCTTAGCTACAGGGGCCACAGGATAGCGGATCTGCAGCACAGCGACCTGGCGAATACGGCTTCCTGCACGCTGCAGTGGTCACGGAACTACTGCCGAACGAGGAGGGGCCGTGCACCACGCGAGATCGTATGAGATCGCGATCCGGGAGGCTGTATAAGAGAAATCACCCACGGAACTCGACTTTGGCGACACGCTCGTTGTTCTCATCCTCCTTTTTCTAGTCCTCAAGAGACATGTACATGGCCTCATCAAGCAGCTTGTGGATCTCGCCCAAAGCTGTTGAACTGCGGGCGGAACGCACAGATAAGCACGTGGGTCCGCTCCTCCACTCGGCGCGCCAACCAGTCTTCCGTGAAGATCATCCGTCGCACCAGCCTCGCGATCACAAAGCCATGGCTGGCTGCAGCGCAGGTGTCCGCAGGGTTCTGGCCATCACACGATTGTATCTGCAGACTCCTCACACGATTGTATCTGCAGACGCCTATGCACGGAGTGCGAGCCATCCTCGCTTTTAACCCACAGCACATGGACGCAAGCTGGCAAGCCATCACAGAGGTGAGTCAGGAGCTTCTTCGAGAAGAGTGCCAAGCCAAACGGGGCCGGGTCGTAGTGGAGCTGAATGATGACCTTCCTCAGGCGGTCTAAACTCTGTGTGCAGTTGCTGGCTTCTCCTGCTAGTGTGCCCGTAGTAGCTGAGCAAACCGCCCGTCATCCATCATCGAACCTCTTCGGTCCCGTCCCACCTGTGACCCGCTGCCATCACCTCCTGGGCTGCCCGCTGGTCCGGACTGCTCGCCGTCACGGCCAGCGCGCCTCTGGCGCCACACTCCTCGAGCTGCCCCCCGCCAGCCGAGTTGGGCGAAGGGCCCATGCCTGACCTGCGTGAGGTCCTGGCTGATGCGTGCATGGGCTGAGGCAGCCCACATCACCGTGACAGCTGGTCCCTGACGGACTGCGCCAAACCATCCCCTCATGCAAACCGCCTCGCACCCCGATACCGCAGACTCCCGAACGCAGACGTAAAAAGGCGCGAGAAAACAAACCAAAGGGGCTTGTCGGGTCGGGTGGCTCATTTGTTGGCATGCAATGGCAATCCTTTCGCCGGCGGAGCGAGCGGACAGGAAACCCGAAACTGCGCGACGCGAAACTGGGCCACGCAGGCGGGGTGCGCAAACAAGAAACCCGAAACTGGGCCACGTTTCAAGGAATGATCATGTTTTAGCCGGCGGAGCGTGCGGACAGGATTTTTTCTCGAAACTGGGCTACCTTTCAGCCTGTCAGCAAATGGCAATGTTTTCGCCTTCAGCAAATGGCAATGTTGTCGCGAAACCCGAAACTCGGCTATGGCAATGTTTTCGCCGGCGGAGCAAGCGAACAGGAAACCCGAAGCTGGGCTACAAACCTTTATCGATCTCGCTGCCGTGCTCTTTTGCTGCAGCACGGCTTCGCGGCTAGCGAGATGAATGGTACGGATTCAATCTTGGGTTCTTAGGGGCGACAGGGGTGACAAGGATGTTGACTGCCAGGTTTGTTGTAAGGGTGACTTACGATTTGGGATTTAAAGGGGCCCATTTTGAGTGTATATAATTGTAGAAAAGGCCCCTTAAACACTATCAGTATGATTGTTTTGAAGGTGTGATGGCAATGAAGAACGTTTTTCTTGGTGTTTTTCCGGGCCTTATTTCGCCTGCAACATCCACGCGGGTCCCTGTGCACCGCGCCTCGGAGCACGCATGGGGAAGCGGCTGTTGGTGGGAGTCGCCTGCCAGCGCACGTCGGCGAGGAGCTCGTGCAGGGCGGGCTCCGGCCCGCCAGCACTAGAACTCTCTGCCTGGGGGCAACTCGAGGAGGGATGCCAGCAAACGGACGAAGGTGGCGGCTTCGGGAGCCCACCTGGCGCCTACTTCGATCCCGAACACAACCAGTCGGCAGCGGCGTGCCCGCGCTAGCTCAAAATCAATTTGGCGTTGTTTGCGGCGGGTGGCCTGGGCAAGAACGATGCCGGGGTGGACATCTAGTGCTGCACGCGGGGGCCTCAATCCATGCCGAGCTCTTGGCATCGCGCTCTCAAGTGTGGCTCGCTGGCGCGGGTGGTCGATCGCAGCACGGCATGGGGCGGCGCAGCGCATCAAGCAGAAACAGGAGACTTGGGTGAACGATCACTGCATGGAAAAATCGTTTCCTCGACCGTGCTTGTTGCGCATCGCGCGAATCGTTTGGAACACATACGCTGGAACGATGCCGCACACATCATGGATGTTCCTTGCCGCAGCCCTTCCCAGCATGCGCGCGACATCCATTGCATCTGCAACTCATCTGCAATGCCATGCCGGGTTTGTCCGCTTCCCGGCTTTCCTCGCGTTGCTTGGCAGTGGCTTGACCGCCTTGACCTGATGGCCGAGCTCCGTCGCCAAGTTCCCGCCCTGCATCACCGTGGTCGTCCGCCATGCGCTCGTTTCAGCTTGCACACGGAGGCCGCGATGACGTTGCGCGGGTAAGTGCATGGAAACTCTTCTTGCTCTTGCAGCGCTTGCTCCTCGCATGCTGCGCCGAGACAGGTGGTGAAAGTGGGGGTGTTCTGATGGGGCCGTGTGCAACTTCTCCGCGAAGGCCGTTGGGACGTCCTGCACGGCCAACTCGGAGCCGTGCCCTTCCGCACGAGACGGCCGACGACCGCGGATATCTGCGGATGATTCAGAGACTCACCCTGCCGCCGCCTGCGGCCTGCGCCCGGGTTCGGAGTGGGAGCTTTCCCGATAAGTCCTCACTGCAGCCGCGCTGGCACCCGGCGATGCGCCGAGCACTCCGATCCCTCGGGGCGGCCACCGCAGCCGCTGCCACCAAAACCCGATCACAGTCGCCGACGCGTTGCGCAGCTGCGCAGCTCCAAGCGCGGGTCGTTGGACTGACTTTAGTGTAAGGAGGGTCTATACTCACAAGCTTCCAAATTTCATTCTGCGAACTGAGTTTGTTTAGGATACCCACTCTTATCACATGTTTTTGCGGACGCTTTTTCCCTACCTTCGGGTGGGGTTTGATTTTAAACTCAATTCTTCTCCTCGCCCGGAACTCTTCGGTCTACTCCGCCCTCATCCCTGGAGCGCCCAACCCCAGAGTTGGCAAAGAGTGTCCCCTGGAGTGCCCAGCCCCAGAGTGTCGCTGAAGTGGCCAGCCCCAGAGTGTCCCTGGAGTACCCAACCCCAGTGTGTCCCTGAAGTGCCCAACCCCAGAGTATCTCTACCCAGAGAGGGTGGTGATGTTCGAAGTAAAATATTTTTGTTTATTAATGCGCCACGTTGCACATAATTTCTACGTGTATCTCTGAACGGAAACTTCCAGCGTAAGAAAAACACATCTGCGTCGAGGCATCAGGCCGGTTCCCTTCGCCCCTGGCAGAGTGAGAAGTGGTTGTGTGGTTTCGAAATCGGGGTTCTTCAGCTTGTAGATTTCAGCCTGATAGTGCTTAAACGGCGGAGGGGCCTGAGGGAGAACCGGTGAAGGGGGTGGGAGGGGGGGGGGGCTGCTGGCATGCGCAAAGGCTACCCGGCGACCCTGGCACCGCCTTTTTGAAGCAAGTATCGCGGAGGCGCACGCGCTTCTCCTGGATGCACTTCTCTCTTCGTGAGGGACGGGATCCGAGGTTCATTGAAAAGGGTTTCGGGGCTTCCTCCAAGGAACAGAGCCAAGCTGTGCTTGAGGCCCTTTTCAATGAGGACTGCCGTTGAAGGCAGATAGGAAACGCATGTACAAAGGAGTGAGCGCTTCTCACCCTCACTCGACTTGACTGTCTTGTCATATGAGTCATATATGTTACTTGTCGAAGTAGTCCGCCTTGCCATGCGGCCATGCAGGATGCCATGCCAACATCTTTCCCACTCTGAGTGCACATGAACTTTGAGAGTTGGCCTTCACTTTGCGAGCAAGCAAGTATCCGGATGAAGACGACAGTGCGCAATTCACAGCCTCACAGAGTACTGAGTCAGGCTGAGCCACCACTCTGTCTGCGTTCAGCGCTGTGCACTCTACACTTGCCTTTTTTGTCTGAGTTGTGTCTCAGTGCTCTCAGTGCTCTCAGATGCTTCAATCCTCAACTCTCAGTCTGCCCCCAAGCTGCGAAAAGGCTGTAGTTCACGGGCGTGATCACCTGAGAAACTCAGAAAGGTCGGTCGATGTCTCTCTCTTGAGAGCCTGTCTCTGCACCTCTCTAATGCACACGGAGCTGACGCACGTTCGTCTCAGGACATTCGGAACATGCATTTGGGCCGTACTCCTGCGGCCAGAGGACGAAGGACCAACGCATGAAGATCAGCCCCGTCAGCGTCAGAGCGCTGGTCCTCGGTCTCGACATCTTCAGTGACCGATCATGTGGAGGACCTTTAGAGGACCTTTGGAGCCGAGCCCCGGGCATGGAGAGGCTGATCTTGTCGGTGGGGCGGTCGTAATCCTGTCAGAGAAAGCATGGCTGTACACTGTGCTGTGCATGCTCTGCACGCCACCACGCTTTGACCACGCTTTGACCACCGAGACCACACGCGAAAGTTGCGGAATGATGTCAAGGACTCCAAGTGCCCGTCCATGAGATTATTGATGGAGAGGGCCCACTTGAAGTTGGGAGCCTCGAAGGCCCCAGTTCTGTCACGGAATCTGAAGGAATCGCTACGAACGCTACGAGCCAGAACTCTTGGGGTCCGAGCCCAGAAGTGGATGTAGAAGGGGCCCGCCTCATTCCGCTACTGAGTGCATGGCATCACGGCGTACACAAAGTTAAGGGCCAAGGTGCTGGATGAGTGGCCATCCTTGCCAAGAAACCACTGCCCCTCAGTCTCAGGACACAAGGCTAAGGCCAAGGCGGCTCAAGGGCTAACGCGGCTAACGGCTAAACCGTCACAACCGGCTGTGGGCGCTCACCCTTTGAGGCTGTTTTGGATAGGCCTTGGCGGCGCCGCACAGACTTGCACAACAGAAGTCAACAGCGAACGCCGCATGGTGCAACATACTGTGTTCTCATCATTGCAATCCCTTCTCCGAGGTAAGGGCGTGCTGGCCACGACCATTGCAGTGATGCCTCTGCCAAGATCAACTGTACTGACCTACGCACTCAGTACATCTTGCCTATGACTTCCTTTTTGGCTGGCTGGCATAACAAAACCCCTGTGCAGCGTGTCCTGCAGCCACTCCCGCCGCCATGATGCCTGCATTACCTGGGCACAGCAGGGCACAATCGTCTCGGCCGCCCCATCAGAGCCCCATCTCACTGTCACACACCGTCTCCTTGTAGCAGGCAGGCCGCGCACAGTGCTTGGTCCGGTCTCGGGCTCTGTCTGGATCTTGTACTCAGCCCACCTGGCCGCATCTTACTGCGCATGTTCGCACGTCTGCACCTGCCCTCAAGTCACACGCACTCCTTTCACTGAAGATCTTCTGGCCAAGATCTGCACCGTCGTAGCTGATTGCCCTGAGCCATGACATTCGCCGTGTGACCTGAGTAACACGAAGCGAGTCAACCGGCGTCACCTTTGTCAAATGGATACGGTCAGGGGGTCCACTTCGGGTTCTCCTCCCCTCCCCGTTCTCGAGAAGAAAGTCGTGCTTTTATTTCTTTGCCGGTCAACAGCCAGCGCACCACGAGTAGAGGTTTGTTGCAAGAACAGCTTTGCGGTTTGTACTACCGTCCATATCACTGAGGCCCAAGGCAAGATGCCAGGATGTAGTTCCGGGGCTGCACGGCCCAGGCGAAGCGAACGAAGAGCCCGCTGTACAGAATCTGACAAGGCTGCAATGATCACAGCGTGAGATGAGAAAGCACATGTGGAACTGAGTTGTTTGTTGATTTCTTGGTGGGGGGGGGGTTTTCGCGGATTGCTGAACGCGAGCTGCGCTGTGTTTGGCAGAGCCCCGAGTTCCCTGCTTGCATCCTTGCCACGCCAGCATTCGCCCAAGAGCTGCAGTAGCACTGAAGCGCCATGAGCGCGCCTGCGTGGCGGACATGCGCTCGTTGATAATCTCCGGCCCCTTCAGAGCCGCGTCGTACCTCTCTTCGATGAACTTGCGCTTACGACGCGGAGTCTCACACACACGAGGTCTCTCTCTCTCTCCCTCCCTCCCTCCCTGCCTCCCCTTCTTCATCTTCCTCTTCTGCACAGCAAGTCTCTCTCTCTCTCTCTCTGTGTTTCTGCTTGGCTTGCATGCCCGAGGCCGCCAAGCCCCAATTGGCCACGGGGCCCCAGAAGTGCGTGGTCATGGGCCCCGTGGGGCTGTTCAGGAAGGCTGCCTCAACTCCAGGTGGCGACCAGTTCCACGCTTCATGACGGCAAGCAGAACTTAAACTACATGAACAGGCTAGGCTTTCTATGGCTTTCTTGTGCCTATCGGCCTCGGCAGGGCGCTGCGCCTTTGCCTTCTGAATTTAAGACTGGTGCACAGGACTGGGCAGCCCGGCCAGAGCCATGGCGGGAACTGAGGAAAAGAAGGCTCCCAATCTCCCTCTCTGGCAAATCCCTCCTATGGACGCGGCCCTGGAGCCACCAAAGGATCACCAAGGATCAACAACGATCGGCAACTCGGCGCTTCCCCGCCCAGCACTACGCCCAGCACTGCGCCCGGCTCAGGCAGTCGTGCTGTTTTCTTCTTGTACCTCCAACTCCTTGAAACTGAAAGGGTCTGCCCACCTCAAAGCTTGCCAAAAGCTGCTAAGCTTGGCAACACGTCTCTCAAAGCTTTGCGCGAGGTGCGGGCACGAGGTGCCACGAAACAAAACTTGCCGCAGTCCTCTGCACGAGTCACGGACGATCGTTGTGTGCTACACGAAACATACACCGAAGTCGGCTCAGTCTGCGTGGGTCTGCGTGGAGTCTACAGCACGTCTATCTGCAGGCTCAATTGACATCTCTAGACTGTAAATCTTAAGTTGCTCGATTCACGTCTCCGTGACAAGGCATTAAGGGCTCGAATTCTCCGCAAGGTTTTTGCCTTCTCTTTGAAGCAATTGCTCAAATTCCGTGCAGCCGGACATGTTCGCATGGATTTCGCGCCGCCAGTCTGCGGATTTTTCGGATGCTCCGGATGAGGACTCGAGGCTCACAGTCGTCACTCTGACTCCTCAGACTGTCAGATGCCTCACACTGGCAATGCGTGGAACCAGCCTTTGCTTACTTGGTCCGCCCTGGGACCTGGCACGAAGCAGAATGCCTCCACACGCTCCGCGCGAGTAGAATTGATTATCAGGCAAGAATCGCCTGCACAAGCTTCAGGATGACCCATCTTCACAAGAATCGACTGTGCAAGGCATGTGTGTAAGCATGTGCAAGCACTCTGCTCTCCAGTGCCTTCCTGGCAACTTCTTAATGGGCGCTTCGCAGCAGAAGGCTCTGCAAGAAGAGATCACGATTCTCACAAGCAGAGAAGGGTACTCCGTGTTTATAAGAGCGAATCGACCCAAAGTAACCCATACTTGAGGTCATGAGCCTCATGAGCCACGACACCTCGGTCCTTTTGAAGTCGCCGAGGCTCCAAACTTGCACCGCACACCCACGTGTTTCAGGCTCCGCAATCGCCTCTTAGTCTCACAAGACTTGAGAAGACCTTAACTTAACAATACGCTCATTCCAGAAAGGGACTGACTCCCCGGAGCGAGAAACATGCGGGGCATTTTTACAAACCTTCAAATAAGTTTTGACTCCCGTAGACGTCATGGTCCCAGCCGCGGAGGTCAGAAGGGCCAGGCACCTCCTCTCTCCCGTAGATTCCTGATTCGTGTGGCTAAGGCCCTGGGGAGAAGGAGCTTCTCATGGTCCCGTCTGTCACCCCCTTAGAAGCAGGAACGCCTAGCACCCTAGAGTGCAGGGACAAAATTGGCTGCAAACCGGGTCTTCTCCGGCCACCAGCTTAAATGGAACATGTGCAAGAGGTTGGCCAGTGCACTTAGCCAGTGTGATTGATGAGTATCGATGTCGACCAACTTCTTGCAAAGGATCAAATGCAAACAAGCCATGGCCTTGTCTGCAGTCGGAATCCGGCTGCTAGCTTTGCCAAATCTGACAGAGGCAATCCAATTCGCCTCTGCTTTCTTCACACCGGCCATGACCGCTACGTCGCGAAGATTCGCTATGTCTAAGCCTGCTTAGATATATGTAGGCGCGTCGGACTCCCTCTCATCTTGGTGCCGTTCACTGGCGACTCTTTGCTGCGACCTGCAGCAATACTGCCAGACCTTCACGTCTCGACGATTGGCTGGCAAGGAGAGGCCACAGTGCCGCTCCAAGGCACCTGTAAAGCCACAACGAGTGATATTCTTTTCTGCGCGTTTCTAAAGCATGCATTCCGGAGTCCCGCCACAACTCTGCCACCCTCACCAATGCAGGGCAATGCAAGGTGTGCCGATTGTGTGCCGTGAGCTCTACCGGGCTCTACCGCCACCCCATAAATGCCATAGACAATTCAGACAACAACTTCTGGACTTCTGGAAAGGCCAAGTGCATTGGTTCGGGCGCTCAGATGGAAATCCAGCATCCGCCAGCAACGATCTCTGGCTTCCTCAGCTACCGCAAGCTGCTCAAGGTGATATGTCGTACATTTGGTCATTTGGTTGCAAGTATTTAATATTTTGTGCTGAGGAGCCCAGACTTGGCATGCCCAAATGGCAGGACCTCGCAGGGGCTCGCAGGGGCTCGGACAAGTCGAACTGAAGGCAGCCAGAAAGGAACCGGGGGGGGAAGACGAGAGGAGATGCGAGAAGCTGAGAGAAGTTCGGTGAGGTCACCGTCACTGCCCTTGAGAAGCCCCCCCCCCCCCCCCGGCCGCCTTCATTGGAATTCTGGCAGCATCCCCTGAAAGGGCAAGGACAGGTCGCGCCTCGGCATCCTGAAGACGTGGCACATTGAGTACGTGTTCCACTTTGGGCACAGAACTAAGCTAATCACCCTGCAAACCGATCTATGTTTTTGCACAGTCGCATGCAAGCGCGCACCCACACACACAACACACACGCACACACAACCCCCACACAACCCCCACACAACCCCCCACACAACCCCCACACAACCCCCACACAACCCTCACACAACCCCACACAACCCCCACACAGTCCCCACACAACCCCCACACAGCCCCCACACAACCCCCACACAACCCCCACACAACCCCCACACAACCCCACACAACCCCCACACAACCCCCACAACACACACACACACACACACACACACACACACACACACACAAACGCAAAATGCAAACGCAAACGCCAACGCAAACGCCAACGCAAACGCCAACGCAAACGCCAACGCAAACGCCAACGCAAACGCCAACGCAAACGCCAACGCCAACGCCAACGCCAACGCAAACGCCAATCGCAGCACGCGTGCGCGCTCAGACAGACAGACAGACAGACAGACAGACAGACAGACAGACAGACAGACAGACAGACAGACAGACAGACCGACCGACCGACCGACCGACCGACCGACCGACACACACACACACACACACACACACAAACAAACAAACAGACCGACGCACGTACGCACGCGCGCGCGCGCGGGGGCTGGAACCCCTTAGAAACTCCCTCTCCTCCATACAAGTCCACAAAGGCCCCGTGCAAGACCCCTGACCCCTCCCCCTGAAGCGGGGAGCCTCCTAACGTGGGCCACTGAGCCAGCGAGCCACCGGATTCAGCATGATTCAGCGAACGCGAGCCACGGATTGAGCCTATATAACCGACTCTAACCCTAGGAACGTTAAGTCTCAGCCATCTCCCCTCGGACAAACCCTCAACGGCTTTTGCTTTTCTAGATTCTAGATGTTCTCGGCAGGCCGAGTCGACGCGCAGCATTGACTTTGTGCAAACTCCAACTATCATGAGCAGCCCAAGGGATGTCAAGAGGCAACACGTCGGCGTCTCCTGCGTTGCTGTGCTGAGGGCGGCCGTTTGTGCACTGAGAAGGAGCTCCAAACCCCAGGCGTGGTCCTGTCGGCGCTGGCCCCAATCTTTCCGGATCAGCAATGACTAAGAATCTCCTGAAGCCTCCCAAAACATCCCGAAACTCCGCGACATTCGGTCCTCCATGCGCTCCTCAGACATGCTGCCTCAGTGGGCTCCCGGGCTCCGGCAACAAGTGGCTGACAACGCCGCGCGCCGACATCGGACGATGACGATGCTGGCAACGATACTACACAGCATCTCCCTGCCTGTGCCGGCATCATCTGTGCTTGCTTCAGAGACCTCCCAATTGAAGGCTGCTCGCATGCAACGCATGCTAATGAGAGGGCCCCATATATGCAGATGATCAGATGACTCAGATGCCATACTACTCGTGCTGCCCAAGGCACACAGGTGTCACAGGACTCCTCCAGGGCGACTTTCAGCTCCTGACGAGAAAGAAGCTTCTCGTTCACTTCAGCCCCGCGAAGTCCTGCGCCAGGGACTTGAAGACTCATAGTCTTTGCCATGTTCTCTCTCTCTCTCTATTCTCGAAGTGTTGTGGCGAGTAGCGGCGTGCTACAGTTCTGTATGGGCGCACACGAGCGTGTTGATTGCGGTGCAGAGTCGTAGCGCCATCTCTGTAAGTTTGGGCTCTCCATTGACTCTCCATACTCACACAGAGCACCTTTGCCGGATGCACGGTTTCCAGCCCTGTTGATTGTCTGATGGTCCATCTCAACCCTGAGCCCGCAGATTACCGAAAAACAATTTGCCACAGCGCAGGTCCTGCCATCCGCTTGGCATCGCGCCTGGGTGCAAAGATGGCCCAAGATTCCAACCCCCGGACTGCCCGGACTGCCCGGACTAAGTCTTCTTAAACAGGTCGGTTGCACAGCTCATCTTCACCGTGTGCAAATGTGCAGTTGGTGAAGTTGCAGGAGCCCTGGAAAGCTGCGAGCAATGAGGGCAACTAAGCTCACCCCTTTTCTTTTCTTGCCAGGCCTTAGCCCACTTCCTGCAAAGCCTTATGGCAAGCTGCGAGCTCGTGGCAAAAGCACACCCCTCTTGCAAAACTCGAGCCTGATGATTCTGAGGGCCGCGCATGGTCTTGAACAAGTCGGGTTTGGGAACAAGCTCGTCTGTGCCATGGGCAAAGCCTTGAGTGGTGGAAACAACACTTTAAAAGCTCATGAACCAGTCGTCTGCACTGCGCAACTTTCTCATCATCAAGAAAGAAGTTCTGAAGAATGCCTACAAGAGAACGGTCTCTAAGAAGTGAGGAGTGGTGAGTTATGAGGAGTGCGACCCCCCGAGACTTGGGCTGCATTGTGCGCCACGCTTGCACTTGCCGATGCCTGCACAGCGATCAGTTCAAGAAGACTGAAGGAGAACTGCCCCACTCGCCTCACTCGCCAAGTCGCCAAGATCTGCCACTGATCTGCCACTGCGCCTCTCCTTCAGAGTGCATTCCGAGTCGCTGTTGAACTTGCAGATTTCCGTCTTTGCCATCTTCTCCTGGCCAAGAGCTGAAGAGCTTGGGCCGCAGAGCAGCGGCGCAGAGTGGCGCGCCCCCTTTAATTGAGACACCTTACTAAAAGCAGAAAGCGGGCGCCTGTGTGGCGCAGGTCTTGGCGTTTGCTTTCGTGGGCGCCATGTCCAACCACCTCAGATTCTCAGATGCGCGCTTTTGCCTGCACCAAGGCCCTTCTGGTAACCCACTGGTATCTAAGTGCGCTATACTACCGCTATACATTGCCATACATTGCCATACCCCAACGTGTTCTGGACACCCTGACAGTTCAGCTTCGGTGAGCAGATCGGCTCCACACGAAATGTGCGACTTCTCTCGCACGTCTCTGTTTGTTTTGTTTGGCGAACGACGCCAGGACACCAGGGCTGTTGGATGTGACAAACCTTGTGCAAACGCCTGCCAGATTGAATGAAGCGCAAACGAGAATACCGCATAATGTATGAACCCGGCCACAGTCATCGCCAACGAAACTTTTCGGAAGCCGCGACGGCAGATTTACGGAGCCTTAGAGCCTTAGAGGTCGCGCGTTTGCTGTCGTTCTTCGTTCGGAGTTTTTCGTGGCTTTGGGTTTTTGAAGGTTCTGACAAACTCGACTTCGACTCATTTACAAGCATCACAATGCCTCCCACGAGAAACTTGAGTCTCCGATCCCTTCCCGACCGAGTCAATCTAAAGCGGTGTGAGTAGTCGCTGGATCCTGGAGAGTTCACATTAGGATCTCCGTGATGTCAGAGGCAGTTCCTTGGGTTAGAGATCGTATTCTCGCTGCGAGGGCGGTGCTTTTTGCTTCAAGGCACGATCTGATCTGAAAGTCAGGGTGACAGGCGCTTTGAAGCTGCAAGCAGCACTAAGCTGTTCGCAGAAATGGCAGCGGAAAGCATCCTGGCATTGTGAGGCAACGAAGAATTGGTGCTCCGTGGTGCGTAGGCATAAGCTCCATGGTGGGGGTAAGCCGAGTCCAATGTGTTGAATGCCTTGAAGGGCTGAAGTATACTAAAGTACTGCTTAGGGTGAGCCACTAAGTCAGTGCCCTGGCACTACGGTCCCCATCCTTTTAGTGTTTCTTTTCGGGCCATCCAACGTTTCCGCAAGGTGGGTGGCATTGTTAAAACCCCATCCTCAAGCCCAAGCCCAAATCTCCGCAGCCCGAATTGCCGAGGAGGGGGGGGGGGGGGGGGGGGGGGAAATCGCATCATCCCACCACATTTACGAGAGCTTCAAACAAAAGCTCTCAAGCACTGTTTCAACATGATTCTCTGGAACAACACGGGCATGTCTTCAGATACACATGCATCCGCGATCAGGCAGCAGAAGAAGAGCATAGAAGCACTTCCAAGCAACCGCGTCCACCGCAGAAAGGGGTGCAAGGCACCCTGCAAAACTCACCCCTGAGGAAAGAACTTTCTCTTCGAGAAAGTTTAGGGTCAAGAGGGTGATCCGGCCCACGTTGGGACACTGAACATTGACGGGCAATACTGCGCCTGAGAGCAAGGCAACGCAACATCGGCCAAGATCAGGGAGCCTGATGGGACTTGATTATAGACCTCGTTGGGCCTTGCAGCTCGACGCAGCACGACGTAAAAGACGTAAACACGCGGAAACTTACGCAAACTGCGGCTCAGGCCCTGTGGCTCACTTTGCCGCAGCAACAGATGGATTTGATGTCGCCCGCGCCTGGGGCTCAGAGGCTGCGCAAAGCTCAAAGCGGTGAGCTCTGAGGCGCGGGCGACATCCTCCAGTTGGTGCTCTCCCACATAGGCATCGCTCTGCCACCTGCGCACTTCCCCAAGAGCCCTACCCAACCATAGCTGTCCCTTCTGTCCCTTCTGTCCCTTCTGTCCCTTCTGTCCCTTCTGTCCCTTCTGTCCCTCCTGTCCCTTCTGTCCCTTCCGTCCGACCTTCGTTGTCGGGGGATGTGGGGGAACTTGGCATGGAAGAAGTTCAGGTCTGCATCGGTTCCGACTTTGGCAATCCAGGCTGCCACGTCCTGCGAAACAGGACCTATAAGCAGCCTATGGGAAACCCTCGGATTTGACTGTCATATTTACAAACGCTTCCCCAAGACTTCAGAAGCTCTGGAGTTTCTTTTCGCCTCGAGGTGCTCTTCCGGATCTTCCCTCATCTTTGGGATGGTCTCCCGGAGGACACGTTCCACGAACCTCTTCCGGCCCAAACGCCACGCAAACTCCCACAGCACACATCTCCGCTGCTACTGCGCTGCTGGTGTGGGCCTCTGGGCGGTTCCCGACCACATCTTCAACCCTAGCGCAAAAGGGGGGGGGGGGGAGTTGGGAAACTCATCTCAAAAAGTGTGAGAGGAAAAGGACAATCCAGAGTCTCATCCCATCCGTGGGGCGGAGGCCAGCTCAAGCAAACTCAACTGTGGGCCCCTGGGCTTCGCTTGGAGGCTTGGAGAGTCCGCGCCTCTGTATTCTGGGCTGCCCGGCGTCAACCTGCGACTCCGAAAGTCTGTTCTTGGACCATTTCTTGGACCATTCACCCCGCATGTTCTTAGAAAACCAAAACACGCTCTCAGAAGAACCACGGAGCGACCGTGTGAGCATCCTTTGTGAGTGTGAGATTCTGTGAGATTATGTGAGATTCTGTGAGATTGTGTGTGCGATTGTGTGTGAGAATGTGCGAGATTGTGTGAGATTGCATCCAGGGGGCATGCCGCGCAGCAGCTTGCACCTCGAAGGAAGCTCGCCCCAAGTGTCCACCCAGCCGCAACATTACCCCCCCCCCCCCATATGCCCGAAGAAAAGCTCCGGGCATGTCGTCCACAAAGCTTTCCTCATCCTTCAGAGGGCAAAATGCGGCTCTCAGAGCCACACGAAGATGCCTCCAAAGTCTGCCACTGGAGACGCTGCTCAGCACTGCCCTGCTTCTGCTTCGTCTTCTGCGAACGTGTCCTGCGCATTGGTCTCGAGCATGGTCTTGATCTGCTCCGGCGTGTACTGCAGCCTCTTCATGGCCTCGAAGGGCGTTCAGAGAGAGCAGCTTGGGCAACTTGGGGCAGCTGGCAATGAAGACTGAGAGAGAAGCTGCTTCGGGAGCCCGGGACAGAGCCGAAGAAAAAAGCAAATGGAAACATGGGAAAGCGCTCGAGTTAGGCAGGCCGCAGGGTGCCGATGGATGAGCGTGAAGACGAAGTCCATCAGGAGCATGCCCGTCAGGAAGCTGAGGCCTCTCGCTCGAAGGAAAAAGAGACAAGAGAGAGGAGAGAGAAGGGGGGGAAGAGGGGAGAAGAGAAGCACCCTCCTCCCCTCTCTCCTCTTCCTCTCCTTTCCTCTCTCTTGCTCTCTCAGTTCTCAGAGAGCCTGCCACGAGCCAGGCGAGGTTCATCCGGCTCCGGTCCCGGCCCTCTCCCGTGATCAGGCCTCAGAGAGCAGAGGAGGGAGCAGAGGAGCAGGGAGAGGCGCACCAAACAGAAAGGTGGGGCAGAAAAAGCTCACGGAAGAGAGGAGTGAAGAGAGGAGTGAGAGAGAGGGAGAGAGAGGGAGAGAGAGAGGGAAAGAGAGGTGCCAGTCCGCTCCGTTTTATCCCCCGACTTCTTGGGAGGGCAGAGGAAGGGCAGAGGAAGGGCGGAGGAAGAGCGGAGGAAGAGCGGAGGAAGAGCGAAGAGCACTCTGAGGCGGAGGCCAAAGAGCAGCGGGCCGACAATCTCGCAGAAAAGAAGCAGATTCCAAAAGGAAGCTCTCCCAACAGAGGCGATGAGCCCAGCTTTTGCATTTTTCCCCCATTTTTCCCCCCCGGGCCTGGCCGATCTGCATACCAAAGAGGGGCAGCGCTGCGGCCTGGGAGGTCTTGTCCGGGTGCGCGAGGGTGTTGTAGCGCTGGAGTGTGGGGGCGATGGCAGGGACCATCAGCCTTATCCCACGTAAAAATATGCATGAGGCCAAAAGATCAAAAAAACAACATGTACAGATACATACATAAACTCACACTTGAGGACTCAAAGCGCGCGGCCCTAGGCCCACGCCCACGAAGCCGTGCAACACCAGCAGGTGCCACAGCTCGCCTCAAAGAACAAAACAAGGGCGCCCTGAGTGGACCCAGGCCCGAAGGTGCATATGAAGTGCATATGAAGTGCATATGAAGTGCATAGGAAGGGTGGGAAGAAGAGGCGCTCAGTAGGGCCCTTTATCAAAGGGCTGCGATCCAAGAGACTGGTCGCGTAGCCAAAGCAGCAGATCAGCGAGCCGCCCTCAAGACGCAGAGAGAGCTTCAGCCAGAGACCCTCTGAGGAGCACATAACGGCCAAAAACATGCCAACGTCTCAAATGCCTATCACTGATCTATGTCCAGTCTTCCGGGCGTCGCGCCAGCGTTGCGCCAACCCTCATGGTCGCCTGGGTTCTGCGCGCAAGGCATTCGGACGGCCGTTCGGAAGCGTCTGCGAAGTTTCCGCGAAGCTTCTGCGAGCTCTGCGGCTTGGGGGCTCAGGGCTGATGTAACTTCAACTTGATGTTCACGAGGTGGGGTTATTTCATAGATGTTCTAAAAGGCCTGAAAAGCTTAAGTGGTTGAGGTCCAGCGATCTAAGACTTTGCCAAACCGCCCGATCGCCGATCTTCGAGGAGACAATGAGGAAGCCCACGGTGGACGACGCGAGGTTCGCGATTCCGTGCGGCACCATGACCTTGGCAGAGACCGTGATCCGCCCCCCCCCCCCCCACCCACCCCCTGCCCTTCAACAAAACCCCCCCCCCACTTTCTTATGCAAGCCATGTGATTTTTGCCTTCAGGAAGATGTGCTGTTGCAATGCTGTTTCCGCCGATCCCGCTTGTCGTCACTGAGCCGAGCTCTCTAAAAGGGTCGAGCTGCGAAATGCGGCTAGGCCTGCTCGGTTACTGTGGCTACTGCCGCAGCTGGCGGATGAGCTGGAGAAGCGGCGCGGCGGCGTGGCGGGCGCGAGACGCGGCGGGGCGGGGCGGGAGAGCCGCCGCACAGCATGCGCATCGCAAGCGCAGGAGCACGAACCTGTGCAAACCTGAGGTCCTGATTATAAAGAAGGCTTGGCCATTGGAGTCTTTGAAGGTTGGTCCGGCCGCGGTCCCGCGGTCCGGGGCCTCTTTTTTTGTCGGTGGCAGCAGCATCAGCCCCTAAAACCCTGATGTCTCTGCCGTTGACATGTGCAAAATTTCAGGAAATTTCATTCGCAGAGCAGAGCCAAGGAGCCATGGAGGTTGCGGCCGCCAAGCTTTCACGAGACTTCTCCTGAGCTTCACTCAGTTCGGAGGGGTGCAAAGGGGGGGAAAGAGGGGCCATGCTCGGCTTCAGTTGGGCATCTCTCAGAGGGATCAGTGCGGCAGAAGCAGCGAGAGAGTTTGGGTCCATGAGCCCAAAGGTCTCGTACTCCAGCAGCAGCGGCAGCAGCAAGATCAGTGCCTGCCACATTTTCTATCGCCACGGCAGTGCAAAGTTAAAAGAAAGGTCTCTCCAATTCACTAGGCAAGGGTGATTTGTCGTTGGTGTCGTTGGACAAGTTGCGGAGACGGAGCATGCTTGGGTGCAGGGCTTGCGGTTAAGAGCGGCCACCCACCGTCTTTGCACACTGAGAGCATTCAGCCAAGTTTTTTTAGGGAGGGAAACCAGAGGTGCGAGTGTACAAATGCTTGCCATGTGCAACTTGTGCAGCCAGGGTGCTGCAACGCATTGGAATATACACCAGTAAGCCAGCCTTGGGGCACGAGGGCTCCAACAAGTTGGCAACCGCACGGCTGTGCTGACCAGGCACAACATGAGCAGAAGGATCTTGTCCTGCGCGTGGGGCTTGGGGGGGGAGGGGGAGGGGAAGCACGGAACTTCGACCGCACTGCGGCTGCCAAGGAGGTCGCGTGCGGTCCACTGGGCTTTTCACAACTTGACACCCGAAACCAGATAAACCCTCGTCCTAGCCAAACCTCTCCGCACGCCCCCAAAAGGGGCCCCATGTCTTCTTGTTTGCTTGCTTGCAGAGCGTGTGACCCCCGGGGGCCCGGGGGTGGCCGCCCCCCATGTCTTCTCTCTGTCTTACGCTTCCCCCCAACTCTGTATTCGAGGCCTTCGCAGGCGGTGGGCCGTCGAAGGGCACCGTTGTCGCCGCAGGCACAACTTCTGCCTCCACAGCAGCTCTCCAACGAGGTTTCAAGCAATTCCATGGAACGCTGAACCAAAAACAGAAAACAACAAACTCAACAACTGACCTCATGACAGCTCCAGTGGGTCGTGTGCATACAAGAGAAGACATGGCTGGCATGTTCTCATTGTCATGTCTCTACTACCTTTGCCGCTTCTTCTCACTAGCATTCGTTCTTCTCCAAGTCTTGGGTGCGCGTGAACATATCAGATCTCCATGGAGGAAACCCCTCGCCGCCTGCCCTTCCTCGGCATCGGCCTTCTTCCCTTGCGAGCGGACGTCCTCGGGACGCCCCCAATCTCTTGTCTGCTGAGAGCAGGCAACATCGACATGAACCTACACTGGCATCAACTGTGCGATTGGAGGTCACATGGTCTTTGGATCTGATGAACCAGCCGGCTTCTTCATCTTTGGATCTGATGAACCAGCCGGCTTCTTCATCTTCGGCTGCCTCTCTCTCTCTCTCTTCTCCTCTCCCCCTCCTTGGCGTTCGTGAAGAAGACTGTAGTGAACACGAAACCTCGCGTTTGCACACCGCTCCCAAAGGTGTTGCAGACCTCCTGCATTCCCGTAACTCTCCAAACTCTCTTACAAGACTCTCGAGATCGGGCTCCCCGGCAGAAGACAGCCACGGCAGTGGAGACATGCCAGGGCCTCTGAACGTTGATTTCCCCACCGCGTGACCACGTTTGGTTTTGGCATGTCTTGGGATCCCCCCTTTAGGCGGCGACCAATGTAGGCCAAAGCGGCCTCGGCTTCGTAGGGGTTCGTGTGGGACTTTGTAAACTCAAGACCCTGGGCTGCCATAACATGCCACAACAGCCACAACACACACTGCTCTTTTGAGATGCCGGCTGATGACCCCTGCAATGGGAGCAAGCGCAAAGTTGCCGGCCTGCAAACGTGGGACGTCAAACCTCTGAGGGATTTGGGGGGAACCCCTTTGGAGAGCCGGCCTGCATCGATGCAAAGAGAATCTGAGATGCCAAGCATGCGCTCAGAGGAAGCAAAGAGGACTCCAAGCGAAGTCTGAAATATGGCTGTTGGGGAGGTCAAGCCCAGACCCCGGGAACCCCGGCACTCAAACCAGAAGCCTTCTGTCACGCGAACGCTGCGAACGCCGCAAAGGAGAGCAGACACATCACGGGAAAAATTATATGAGCAAAGCGTCGGTGCTCCGGAGCTTGACAAGTGCCTCGGAAGAGGAACACTTTCAAAAAGGCGAGCGCTGAAAAAGGGCTCCGAGAGATGTCTGTCTCTTTGTCGGCGTTTGACTGCAAACTTTGGGTGGCAAGTCTCGAGACGGATCTCGAGCGGATTTTGCCGAGGGGGCGCCATGTTCGGCAGGGAGATCTCGGTGACGAAGGCCCTCAAGACCGGCATGGTGCCCCCGAAGAAGCCGGCCAGCGCCCGGCCCGCCATCATCACATACACACCATCCTCTCCGAGCGAGTTGACTTGTGGGAACACACCTTGTAAGCACTTGCAGCTCTTTATTCGCAACTCTACTGTGGGCATCGTGCGGTTAGCCGTGAAAAGCCGTGAATCCCATCTCGTGCCTTGTTGCCACAGTCGGCCGTGCACTCGAGCAAGCCTCGATCCGGGGGAATCGGAGAGTGACTGCGGAGAGGGACGCAAAACCTAGAACAGTCTCCATGGAAACCCTGAGGCCCTTCAAACCAGCGCTGCAACATGCAGCTATGAATGGCCCACCGGGGCGACTAAGAGGCCTCCAGAGCCCACGGCGGTCGCAACGCTGTTGGTGCTGTTTCCTGCAATGCTGACGGTCCCGTTCACCACTGTGCACCTCAAATCGCCCGCAGAAGCTACTTGCGCAACTCCCGAGTTGTTGAGACATCACGTGGGCCCTTCTCCTGCCAAGCCGCATGTGCCCCTCCCAAAGGTTCATCTGATCTCCGGCCCCTATGGAATGAAGTTGTCGTTCACATTGGCTGAAGAGGTAGGCGTTGCCCTGCAAGGGCGCTGCATGTAAGCTGAAAGATAGGAAAACCATATGAAAACCTGAAGCAAGATCTGGAAACCCAAATCGCCTTTTGCCATCCTAAACGGGCCTGGAGCCCATAGGCGACGGCTGTCCCCAAGACGGAGATCAAGAGGCACAGCTTCCTTGGACCAACAGAACCCTTGTAGGGCTGAAGAGCGATGATGGCCACACCCGAGAAAATCAGAGATGAGATGGCCTCAAAGTTCCACACAAGTGCCTTCCTAGGCTGAGGTCTCCAGTCGTATTGCCTGCAAAGTAGCACGCCCTTGGTGTCCGCCAGTCTGGGCATCCACATCAAAGACACCACTGCCAAGCCGAACCGGACCTGCGCACATCTTGGCTCACAGAAAAGAGCTACGTGGCAGGAGGGGAGCCCTTGCTAACCTGTTCTGACCACTCCCCCCCCCCCCATGCCCTGAACCGTACAACTCCAGGATTTCCGGGCCGTGGTGAAGCCAGCGATCTCCGCGGTCGAGGCGCCGAGTTGTTGGCCATAGGGCACCATGACTCAGGGAGCATCAGGTCTCAAGCGCTGTTTCCGAGCAGATTCCACACGCAAGTTCGCAAGGCAAGACACACGTGACAAGGCTGTCAAGAAACCGGGCGCGGTGAAGAACATCCCCATGACGTCCACCTTGGCATCATGTTTTCAATCAGATTCCATCTGCAAGCCGACCCTCCGGCACTAGCGCTCTGCAGAGATCAGCTCTAACGAGGCTCTAAACCGTCTAAACCCAAAGCCGGAACGCACCCAACAATTTGTCCTTATTGATTCTCGCGTGTCTCATGACTTCTTGCTCGCCAGACACCATGTTGATCAGCAAGCAGCAGGCGAACGACACCTGCCCCTGACACAGGATACAGCAAGCTACTAGACTGCAGGCGAAGCGAATTGCCACCACTCAAAGCACGAAGCTGTGTGTTGCTTGTCCACTCGCGGCCGCCGCGGACACTTCTCAATACACTTCATTAAGCACTTCACTAAGCTCAACAAGATTCAAGGTAAGGTGTAAGCACCGGGCTAAATCAAGGCGCCGCATGGCCAGCGTGGGGGAGGCACGAACTGTATTAAGTGCTACAGGAGCTTCCAACTGAAGCCCGCAATGCTGGCGGAGCTGGGAATGCCGCACGGGCTGATCACCTGACTTTCTACCTTCACGCTGCTGCTTCACCGATGGCGACGCTTCTCACCCGCTTTCCTCTTCGAAATCTTTGCGCCGCGAGTACCCAGAAACTTTCAGGGTGCTGCGTCCACGGGAAGAGCGGGCGAGAGAAAGCTGGAGCGAGAGTGACAGAGAGAGGCAGAGAGAGGCACAAAGAGTCACAGAGAGAGGCAAAGCGAGCGGGAGGTGGGGAGCGGGATGGAGCTCTGAGATGGGGGCTCGATGGGGTCCCAGAGAGGGGGCTTCAGCCAGCTGAGCTGCGAGTCTCCGCGCAGCAGGGGAGCCCGTCTCAGGCATCGTTGGGCAGCTGCGTAAGGACGAAGCCGGTCATCTCGCCTCCACACTTCGCGACACTCCTTGAGGTACTCTCCTCGCCTAAGTCCTTCCTGTTAATAGTTCTTAGCGACTTTAAGTTTGCACATGTTGGCCCGTTGACATAGACATGGTACGACGCGCCGAGGCCAGCAATGAGATGAGGCCGGCGCGAATCGTCGGATAGTCGAAGACGAATGTGAGATCCTGCTTGAGATTTTCCGGGCTTTCGGATGACCGTCGCTCATCGCTCGTTGGGCCGCTTGGGCTCCCCGCCATCTCCGGAATTTCAGGAAACTCTGCCTGCGGAATTCGCGTGGCGCCCCGAGCGACGGGAAAACCTTCTTGATCTTTCTTGTGTCCTCAGCTGGAAAAGCAGGCGCCTGGATCTTGTCTCGAAGCATGATGCTCGCAATACCTCGGTGTTCCAGTTGATATTGATTACATGTTGCGAAAATTGCTTCGTGGAGCCAGGATGCTGGTCATGCCCGTCTCCATGAGGGTGCGGTCCTGCAACACGTTGCGTGAAGTCTGCAAATGCAGCTTGGACCCGGCCCTGGCCCTAGCGACCTCCTCCATGCCCTCTTGGCCTCGAGGTTCAATGCAAGAATGTGCAGGCACATGGATCAAAACGTCGAACGATTAGTGCGAGGTTGCTCCGTCTGACTGGGGCTCGGGCCAATGGCTTCGGCCACCAGCTCCGTGAGCGTGTACTTCACGCGATCGGGCAAAGCCCTCGGGAAATACGGTCACTTCAGCCCCCATGGTCTAGTTACTAGGTGAGACTCTTTCCCCTGGATCAGCACAGCATGGTCACGCACATCTTCGCAAATGCATGCATGCATACACACACAAACAAAAGGTACCAATAACTGTGGTATGCAAACAAATCTGCAGATGAACCGACAGACACATCGACAAGCATGCTCGCGGGTCCTTTACGCTGCGAGGGCAGCGCGGCTGCACGACACTGTACACTTATTACTACACTGCCATGGCACCATGCTACTGGCGCACAAACAACGTGAGCTTACCACCGCACCCCCCGCCCCACCCTAAACAAAAAAACAACACCGTCCTCCACACGAATTCCGGGAGGCTCAATGAATTCACCGGGCCGTTGCTGAGCGGCCGGCAGCGCCATCTTGTCCACGACGGCGGGCTTCTTCGCCACCTCGAGGACTCAAGAAGCGGAGAAAGGATGCAGGAGGGGGGGTGGCCTCCCTGCCTCCAACCCAACTCTCAGAAAGAGTTGGCTTCTTTAAAGAGCCATTCTAAGGCCCTTGAGGCCCTTGAGCTTGGGTGCCCGACAGCTGCGGTCGGCTCTGCAGAGACTGGCGCCTTGCCCAACCCAGCAAATACAAATGCACAGAAGCAGACATGTTGGAGGCAACGCATGGCGCTCTCTCGCCATGTGCGTTCTGTCACCGACTTGCCAACTTGCGAACCCAGCCTGCGCCTGGGCAGCCCCCGCTGCCGGCCTCGGCGCCTGCGATTCGCTCTCCTATTTTTGAGACGAGCTCCACCCCAACCACCTGCCGCAAGCACCCACGGCGCGCTGGCGTTGCCTGGGGCGTGGCCCTGCTCATCTTGGCCACCAGCGCCTCTTCGGAGTCGTGGTTTGACCGAAACCCCTCGCCTGAGGGCTCTCGGGTCTGCGGGGGCCTGGGCCAGCGCGACCTCGTGGCTACTGCCGGCTGTCCGAAGACTCTCCAAGGCCTGGAAAATGGCGCGAAAATTCTTCCTCTCAGCTCTCAGCTCTCAGACTCTCGGCTGCCTCTTTGGCAGCTGCCACGTCCGGAGCGCCCTGGAGGATAGAGATGTTGGCTTGCCTCAGTGGGGCAGTGGGCAGTGGGTGAAGCCTTCTCAACCCTCGCCAGGAGAGGCCCCTGCAGCAACTTGGCAGCTCCGACGGCGCGGTGGTCTCCCAGCTCTTGCAGTACCGGCAGGGCCTGGTGCCGGTGGGTGCCGGCTGGTGCCGAAGCGCTCTCAAGTTGCGTCAAGAGGGGTTCACACGACATGCTTTTCTTCCAGGCCAAAGAAGAGGAGTCGAGGAACATGAATGTCTTTTGCCTCCTGCAAGTCTTCGGTGGCTCCGTCCAGAAGCCCGCTGGAGACCTTGGCCCGAGCGTGGGCCAAGCGCCTCAGAGGCGAGAGAGAGAGAGAGAGAGAGATCTGGCCCCCCAGTACAAAAAGGGAGACCAAAAAGTGGACACGTGACTGAGCTACACTGGGGCTTCGGACGCAACAGCCACCATGTGATTGCTGCTGAGCCTCTTGCCAAAGAGCGGAAGGAACCCGATACCGCCGATACCCGAAAAGGTGCCACGGTTGACAAAGGATATGCACCTCTTTGAAAGAGCGACGGCTTCCTTGGATGTTGCTAGGACCTGGCATCGGCGTCTGCTGGCATCGCCTTTTTGCAAGGATGGCTCTTATTTTCTGTTCTGGCGCCTTGTTGCGTCCGCGCCCCTCGAAGAAGCTCCGTGCAGCCTTTAAATTCGGAAGCCGAGGAGAACAGGACACGGCAGCAGGTCCGTCCGTTGACCAGAAGATCGTTGAACAACACACGGCTGTCGCAACAGCCGTGCGTCAATTGCCGATACGAACCTTCCAAAACACTTCGAGATGGCGCCGACCTTGCCACCTCCAGGAACGGCGCCGGCAGCTAGTTCCAAGCTGCCCGCCTCCACAAATGTAAACCCTTTTCTAGCACACTCGACAATGCTCCCTCTTCTGCCTAAAGCTCGCTTGAGTATACTATCGCTTAGAAAAGACCAAAGCCTGGAAGATGAAAAATTCCCGGTGGCCTACATGTAATCGTCATCCTTTCGGCGGCTCACTCAATTGTAAAGTTTAGAAGCCTTGCATAGCCTTCGAAATTTCAACCCTCTACGGCCTGTCATCTGCTGATCGTGCAGCACAGGTGTGAGAGAGATGCCATCAGAAAGCAGAAAGTTGGTTTCTGATGTTTCCACAATGTTGATCCAACTAACCATGGCCAATAAGCATGCCCGGCGCCTGTGAAGAGAGGAGCAGCATGCCAGCCTTTTTCGAAGAGCACAGCAAAAACTCAAGACTGAGCTGAAGCACCCCCGCCCCCCCCCCCCCGCCGGAATCCTCTCACGACTCACGACTCTCACGACTCTCACATTCTCAGCAGCCCTTGCCACGCAGCGGCACCTCGCGGCCAAGTTCGCTGGTTTGTCGCAGCAGGGCCCTCGCCTTCCAGAGCGTCTTCGCAGTGGAGAAAACGTTTGGGAGGGGAGCTTGGAGGAGACCACAGTGGGCTCTCGATCTCAAAGTTTCGGGTGTTTTTTAGGCCATTCGGCTCCAAGAGGCTGTGTCCGCCGCAAGCCGAGCGGCCGAGAAATCCTGCCACACCAACAGAAGAATCGGGGACTGCAGAAACCTGGAAACTGCACCCCGACGAGCCTGCCGCTGGAGCTGTATCCTTGCCACCAGGTGCGCCGCGCTGGCCTGTGTTGGCCGAGAGAATCCTTCTAACTCTTTGTTTACCGGGGGCCTCCACACCTAGGGACCTAAGAAACCTGAACAAGGGTGTGCTCCCAGAGAGTGATGGGAGCCCCCAAACGCGGGTCCGCTGCTGTACCTGATTTGAGGAAGAGAGGGCCTCTCAGAGGGGCTCCAAGTAGTGCTCCGTAGTGAAAAGCAAGGCCGGGCCTCAGCTCGCTGGTCGCCGACCTCCCTGAAGAGCTCCTGACACGGTGCACGCAGCGAAATGAACCGGGTCCAAGCCAGAGATTCCTTATGTTCGGCCGGACGTTGTTGAATCTTCTGCTGGGATGTGTGGGACTTTTTGATCCCTCGGACCCCCCTTACACGGAGTCCTGGGCATCCGAGGCAGCGCTGAGAGCACCCTCGAGGTCCGCCAACTGCACCGAAGCGCCTCGGAGGAAGCCACACTTGCCAAGGATTCCGCAGCGTGCCTTCGAAGTGTGCCTTCACAGCGCGCCTTCTGCTCAACCCTTAAACATGTCCGTAGCCCTCGCGTAGAACCAGGCGTAAAACATCCGGCACTCTTGTAGCGTCGGCAATGTTTCGGCCCATGGCCACGTAGCCTGAAGTGGCCTTTTCACAACTTTTTGGCGGGTGTGGGGCTACGTATGAGCTCAGCTAAAACATACGCTCGCTCCCTTCGCCCGTCACCACAGGCCCCCGGTTGCTCCCCCCGATCCCGAACGCTTCGCCGCTTCGCCATGCCTTCCAACAGGTCTGCGCCTGAGATAGCACGGCACGGCACGTCCCAGGGATCTCCAGGGAACTCTCGTGAGGGCTTTTGGTTGGCAAAGGTGCTCACGTGTTCTGCACAACTTGCAGACAGGGCCACGGTTCCGCCACGGCCCTGTGGAACGTCTTGAAAGTGGTCAAGTAACAAAGATTAGAAGCTATAGAAGTTGAAAGATATAGCAAGAGATGTGGCACTGGGTCGGGGCAGGTTCAAAACTCACTTCGCATGCTAAGCGTGAACTCAGAAGGCCATTGCTCACAAAGCCCCTGCCCCTCCCTGCCACCCGAGTCCACTCACAGCGCGTCTCAAAAGGCGGCGAGGGAGTCACGGCCTTCAGGAGCCTGGCAGTGCACTCAGACCTCAGCAGTGACTCCGGAGTGGCTCCCGGAGTGTCAGCCTTTGTTCCTCTGGTAGCCGTCCTCGCCGGCACCGGCCGTCTGCCCACCTGTGAAAGCCCCGAAGCTGTTTGGGCAAGAGGCAACACATGCAACACATGCAACAATTCACATCTCTGATTCCGCCCAGAGTACCTGCAACGAGGTCGCGGATCAAGTCGCTGCCCAGCGGGCCCGTCCTCAAGGCCTTGAGCGTGGGCGACGGCTCACCGTGTTCAACCGGGTTCAGCTTGGTATCATGCCCCTTCCTTCGAGAGTTCAAAGATGCCAGTATTTGACCTCTGAGTGCCGGGCCAGGTCATACGCGGTCTTGCCACCGTCATCCAAAGCCTGTGGGTGGCCAGTGCAGTACCACACCTACCACGCTGCATCATGTGATTCTTTTCTGGGGCCGGTGGCCATAATGTCGGCGTCGCCCTGCTCGACGAGCAGCTTGCAGATCTCCTTCAGCGGTCGAGATACAGAGTGCTTTTGCCATTTTGCCACCGAATGCATTCTGGCCCGTGCTTCCATTGATGGGGCGTCCTCCAAGCCATTGCCAGCCGCCGACATGAGGGGCGTCCCTGAAGGCCACGCGCCAAGCGAGCAAGCTCTACCGGGCACCCAAAAAAAGCTGCCGAGTTGCTACCGGTCTTGGATGCAAGATTGATATCGGCCCCCAGATCCAGAAGGGCCTGGACACTGTCCAGTTGCCTGCCAGCAGAGCAGCCGCTCAACATCGCAAACCCGACTCGAAACCTGTCCCAGCCGTCCCAGCCTGTTCCTGACAGCGTAACGAACCTGGTCACATGAGTCACAGGATGGCCATGAAGAGCCATAAGCTCTGGCTGTCTGGCTGAGGCAGGCATCGGCTAAGCAATCCACAGCTGTCCAGCCATAGGCATCTTGTCCGTTAATGTCCGCACCCTTCTCGACTAGATCCTTCACCTCCGGCAGAAATCACGGAGACAATCACTTAAGCAGAAGCGAGAAGCTCTGCTACAAGTGCCTACGAGCAACTGTCTGCACCTTCCCGGTGTCTCCTTTGTAGGCCGCCTGCATCAGATCCGTACAGCCGCCTCACACGGGCGAGATGTGCCATAAGCGATGCTCGATTTTCAGTCACTCAAGCATTTAAGTGACATCTAGTCTCAGCCATCCGAGCGTTGGACTGTCCAGAATGGGGTGGGCGGGCTTGTCACCTTTCGAAACGAAGCTCCAAAGGTGAAAGTCAGTGAAAGAGCTGCAGTGCACTCGCCTTTGAAAGCAGGCTTGGGATCCGCATTCACTGACACGATGCGTCTGTTGGCCGTCGGCCTGTGCTTGCTTCCACACGGTTCGATGACGACCCTGTACAAGCTGCATGCAAGTGAAACCCAGATCCTTAAGTAGGCACTTTGCACATGCTGCACAAAACATGCTGGAGGCATGCCTGAAGCCCATAAACGTCGGTGCACCCACCCTGAGTTGTTGGAAGGGCCGAAGAAGCAAAGTGAGGATTCTTTTGTCGTGAGGTAACAGGCATGCGTTGAATCTGAGAGATTTGGACAGGCATCGCATCTTGGTGTTCGTGAGGCAGCACTTGGTGCCCCGGCATGCAGAGGATCGTCAAAACCGGCAGCACAGGCGATCGGCGGCTGGCAGCCATGTCGAAATGTGTTCCTTGCACCGAAGGTACAAAGTCAGCACCAAAGGATAGATATGCAAAGCTTGTGCAAGGATACAACGGGACTCTGAAAGAGGGCCCCAGGCCTCAGGGGGTTAAGGCCTTCTCCGTGCTCCTCGCGAACTCAGGGGGAGATCGTTCCGCATTGGGCCAAAAACAGCGGCGGATTGAACCTAAATCGTTTCAACAAACACCCCTAGCATTCCCCACCGACGAACGGAAGACGAGAACAACACATAATACTGTCTTTCTTCGACAGTAAGGAACTACCATATTACCAGTTGCCGTCCTGCAAACCTTCCTTAAACGCCTTCAGCCCGCCTAAGCGCAAACTCTACACAGAAAAGGCCCTCCCCCTCCCATACTGAACCCAAACAAGTACACACATCGAAACACTTCAGCGGAGAACGCGCTCAAGGCCCCCAGGCTGGCCGTTCGCAGGGCGCACAAGGCCTCGCCGCCCACGGCCCCAGCCTCTTCCATGAAGGCAGCTTAGTCAGCTTAGGCAGCTTTAGGGATTTTTGGCTCAGACGAATCCGCGGCTTCTTTGTTCAGAGGAAAGAACTCTTCGTAAGAAGTCTGCACGGCGGGAGCAAGCGAAGTTCTTGTGCAGATTCTGTTGGCCACGAATGGCAAAAGCGAAGCAGCGCAGCAGCGCCTGCTTGCAGAGCTCGCGACCTGCGCTGGCCACCTGCTCTTGACAGAGTGCCGCAGAGCACTGAGGTGACAGACTAGTGACAGACTAGTGACAGAGATCGCCAGACACAGACACCTTTTGTTTCCATATACAGACATTAAAGCTTATGGAACCTCGAATAGTGCGCGATTTTTGAAGAACAACAATGGAATGTGGTGGCGAATCGTGTACGGGCCTCCAGCGCCTTGGCGGCCTCGCCGTTGGCCAAGTGGGCGGCGGAAAGCGTCTGCAGGACGGTGGCCTCCGAAGTTCCGAAGCTCGGATGCTCAGAAGCGACACAGTGGACACAGGCCACTCCCAACTGATTGCGGGTCTGCCAAAAGCTCCAAACCTACACCCGGCTCAGTCCTCTTCGTTTGCACTTACTTCGCAGCCTTGCAAGATCCCCCCGGCAGACACGCGGAGTGCGTCTCACTCTCTCAACATCTCTCGGCTCTCGACTCTCTAGTCTCGACTCTCGACATCTCTCGACTGCGCGCCTTTATGCGCCGCCCGTGCTGCCTGAGCACAGCGCAGGGCTTCCGAGGCGTTCAAGGCGTCCTGCCGGGGCTGTGCCGGGGCTGTACAGCAGAAAGCCCTGGGCACGGGGGTGCCACGAACGCACCTGTCCTGGCATGATCAGAGAAACTGGGGCAGCCGGTGCAATGCACGCGCGGCTACCCTTTCCGCGTGTTTCATTCTGACAGTACGGAGTCGAGCCTTCGTGCCCCGTTCATGTGTCAGGGTGGGGCGCCGACAGTCATGGACTTCCCTGCAGAACCCCCGGCCCCGGCATGTCTTCCCAAACTGTCGGCAGGGTACTCTACGTCCCTGAAACAGAAATTGAGAGAGCCCTCTCCACTGCCACCCTGCACGGCAACGTGCATAAGGCAGGCATGGCACTGGGCTTCACAACTTTCTCAAGCCTGGGCAGACCATCCGGCACGCCGAGCCCGCGAAGGACAGAACTGCTAGCCGTGTAGTTTCGGCTGAGAGGGTGGGAGGGTGTGAACGCAGAAACGGGGACGGTTGTAGAACGCACCCGCTGAAAGTCAGCGCTTTTCAGTTCTTCTCTGTAGCGAGCGAGAGAAGGGGACAGAGAGCGAGAGAGAAACAAAAAATGAAAACAATTGCAAACGTGTTGCTTCTCTCTATATATATATATATATATATGTTAATATATCATATAGCATTGCATAGTATGAGGGCTTAGACATGTTTAGACGACAAGAAGAATGGAAAAAAAGGAAGCGTGGGCGGCGACTTGAAGTCCGGCGCCTTGCTCATGTGGAGCTGCGCCGCCAGGTGCCAAGCTCCTGCCTCAGAGAGAACGGGAAAAAGACGAGAGGCCAAAGAGGACAAACCCCCGTCTTGAAGATTTCCTTCGCGCAGACCTTCTTCCTCTTCGTGCGACAGGAATCCCCCCCCCCCCCCCCCCCCCCCCCCCCCCCCCCCCCCCCCCCCCCCCCCCCCCCCCCCCCCCCCCCCCCCCCCAGGCCTCGGCCACGCGATCCTCCAGCGCTTCCAAAGCCACAGCTGCCTCCTCCAGCGACTCCCGTTTTTCTTTCAGAGAGGGCGGATCATGGCGTCACATGTGAAGAGGAGATAAACACTTCAACCGCTTCGATTTGATGGTTCGGATGCGGATGTTTCGACAGAGGCTACTCCTTGCATGGCCACGTTTCAGTGCTGGGAATAACCGGCCTATTTCCTAAAAAACAGACTTTTGTGCTTTGCAGAACTTCTATTTTTTTTTGCCGGATTCGTTTCGCGGCTGCGGCTGGCGCGGCACTGCGAGAAACCACCACTTTTGGGATATGGGGAGCGACCGCGTGGGGGACTCTTCGTGTGCAATCGCTGTTGTTTTATATTCGTTGCATAGAGCGATAACAACTAGGTTAGCGCGATCTATTTTCCCTAGGCGCAGTGTCTGCTTGACAGCGCGTTTCTGCTGGCAGGCGTGGTACGGAGCAAAAAAGCAGCTTTTTCAGGGTGCTTCAAACTACTTTTTTTGACGTGTTGCTCTGGGGTTTTCAGTGCAATTTCTGGGCATGGTCTTGTGACAGCCTTTGTTGTTCCACATCTTTGTGCAGTATGTTGTGCAAAGCGGCAGAAAACACCGTAAATACCAGCGATTGGGCATGTTCGGCAAGGCATGGATGCTTGTGACAGATTTCCTCGTTCCACATCCTATCCTTGTGCTGTATGTTGTACAAAGAGGCGAAAACGCTGTAAATACCAGTGTTTTGGGAACAAATCGCCGTAAATACCAGTGTTTTGGGCATGGTCGCGAAAGGGCAACTACCCATGAAAGGCTTCGGATTCAGGTTGGTTGACTGATGTTTGATCCACAAAGATGGGGCCGTGAGAGGTTGTCAATCGTGTCCTGGGCATAACGAACGGCCGCAGGCACTGCTTTCTGGGCGAGATGGACGGCCACAAGCCTCAGGGAACCCACAAGGCCGCCGGACCGCTCATGATTCTGTCCCGTCACGACCCGGCCCCAAACTGTCTCCGAGCCCCCGACGTCTGGAGCGCGGCGGCTTCCATGACCTGTCACAAGGGATGGCGCGAAGTGAGTTTTGTCTTATACATGGAACAGTCAAGGCCAGGTGCTTTGGCCAGGTGCTTTCTGAAAATACCCCGACAACTTCCCGAACCGCGCTGCTAGATTTTGATAGATCTTGAATCTCTGCATGCGTATACATGTTTCTAGACATATACATGTATGAGAAAAATATATGTGCATAGAGTATACATATAACTATAAGTATAAGAACATAAATATACATATAAATAGAAATATAAATATAAATATAAATTTACTTTTGCTGTTCCTGGCCTGGTCCTGGCGATTGCGGGCCTCCTGCAAGGCCTCCTCCGCTGCTTCCTGCCTCGGGTGTGCCACCCCCCCACCCATTTTTCGTTTCTTGAAGACGCAGGGGGGGGGGGGGGGGGCACTCCTGCGAGGCACCCGCTGTAGGGCATGCCAAGGGGTTTGCTGGGATGCCGACGCACGGGAGGAGTCTCCCTGGGCCATCCGCGCACGAGTCTTCTGGTCCTGAGTGGTAGACTGCTGCAGACAATCGCAGCAATCTCGCCAACAGTATCTCCGACACTCTCAGCTGACTGCTAGTGGCTAGCGCACATTTTCGCAGAGCTCTGACATAATTTCGAATCATTCCTTCTGGCCATTAATTCTGTACACGACCAGAAGGTGAAGTGTCGAAGCGCACGAGAAACTGGGGATCTTCAGCCGCTCAACAGCCTGTTCGAGCTAAAGACTTGCAGCGTGCACCCTCGTGCACCTCAGCTCTGCCTGTGCTGGGCGAAGGCGGCCACCTCTTAGCACCGTCATAAGGTCACATAGGGTCAGATAAGAAAAACCCTTCTTCCCCCGACCCCTTGCCCAACCCATCCCAACCCCCTTTTCCCATGCTCATGAATGCGAGGGGCATGGGTCGAGGTCCTATGGTTCCGGACGGCCTGTTGCTTCACGCGCTCGCGCACGTTGGCCCAAAAGAGATGTACGTCATAAGCGTGGTAGTCCTCCAGCGAGCACTCGTGCCCTTTGACGGTCTATTCGAAGTTGAGAATGCGGCTGGTACTACTTGATGATATGACATATGTCACGCAACAGCAGCTTTCAAAGGCTGGGCCCTGAATATGCCCCGCACATAGTGTGATCTGAGGAGCACTAGAGTTTCTCCAACCCCTGGTCATGATGTCCCATGTGCATCTGCGTCAGTTTGCTCTCTGCAGCTGGGCAGGGGTGCACGCGAAGAAGGCCCTCGACGACTTCTGCTCGTTGGACCAAGCCCCTTTCAGGGAAACAACGCCAATCTCCTCCCAACACGACCAATAGAACACTTGCAACAGCATATCCAAACTTCCCACAACAACGTCTGCACCTGTGCAGCACTGGTAGCTTGGTCTCTTCATCTGGCAGCAGAACACCCAAGTGCTCACCCTTCGTCCAAGCGCAGGGATTGGCGAAATCGGTGAACCCACGCCCGCGCGACATGAAACCTCGAACATGTTTGATCAGTAAAGAAGTGGAGGGAGGCAGAGTGGGAGGGAAACCGAGCGAGAGAGTGCGAGAGAGTGAGAGAATGAGAGAGCGAGAGAGCGAGAAAGTATGAGAGTGAGTGAGTGAGTGAGCGAATGCGAAAGCAGGAGAAAGGAGAGCGTGAGAGCATGAGAGCGTGAGAGCGTCAGAGGGTGAGAGCGTCAGAGCGTGAGAGTGTGAGAGCATGAGAGCCTGAGCGCGTGAGAGCCTGAGAGCATTCTCCTTGTCAGACTTAGGCTGCCATGTGGTTTCTTGATGTTCAGCTACATTTAGTTGCTCCAAGATGTTGACATGTTCTTCCCTCCACAACTTACCCCGAACACCTTCCGCTGCACACAGAGCTCATTTGCAGTCGCAGGCATGGTCGAAACATGTCCCAGATGAGAAAAAAAGGGGGCTCTGACGCCCCACCCCCTCTGCCAAAGCTATACACGAACTACGTCGACCCTCTGAGCCAGTAGTTCGGATGCGTGTGCGGGTCCTTGAGAAAGGCTCAGAAGAGATGAGTATTTCCTAAGATATAGGGCTAACCCCACTTGTACCCTCAAAATACCATAATCCGGAGTGGTAGCATTACGGCAAACAATTTTGGGCAACCCAAGCATCTGAAGCCATGTGCGGCCAAGGCAGCCGATCAAGGTCCATTTCCGATCAGCCTGGGGCTGCACCCTGCACCCTGCTTCTTTAGGGCCTTTAGGGTTTAGGAGCTTAGGATTTTTGGGGGCTTACGCTTTAGGACTTTAGGGGTTTGGGCTTGTGGGTTTCAAGGTAGAGGGGTATAAATACACACTTGAACAAAATGGTGAGAGCAGATGAATGATGAATGAAGGGCCCCAGTCACCAAAATAGAGCGCACAATCAATGTGTAATAATACGAACAACAGACCAAGCAAATCCACGGCCGAGCTTTTCGTAAAACAACTTTTCTCCAACGGTGGCCACTCACCAGAAGATATAATTCTTCTTTGCGACCAAGCAAATGCAAAGGTATTCTTTCCATGCATACATAAATGTATAGACATATGTGTCACCACAGCTTCCAGACATTTCTGCACAGCACGTCGAACAGATCTGCGTGCAGCGCGAACCACCTCATCGACTCTAGACCTCCAAACTCCATGACATATGTGTATCTATCTATCTAGCTATCTAGCTATCTATCTATTTTTATATGTGTCATCATATTATGCATATATATATATATGCTACCCCCCCCCCCCCAAAGATCTAGGTATTTTCATGATTTAGCGATATCAAGTTGAATACTTGCATGGGCCCGGAGGCGATGTGAAGTTGAAGATGTAACCGCCATTTAAACCTGAACCCTTAACCGTAAAACCCTTTTGGGTTAAGGCTTAAAAAGGTTTAGGCCTTAAGATTTAGGCATTTAAACCTAAGCCCATCGAGTGTAAATCTTAGCGTACAGGGCCTAAACACTTAACCTTTAAGCCCTATAGGCTATAGGGCTAAGGTTTAATGGTTTAGGGTTTAAGTTCAATAGCAGGCCCATAGAGTTAAAGCCTTAAGGGGCCTAAACGCTTTAACCTTTAGACCCTATAGGCTATAGGGTCAAGGTTGAAGGGTTTTTGCTTTAAAAGTAAGTCTATAGAGTTCAGACCCTAAGGGGCCTAAACGCTTAACCTTTAAACCCTATAGGCTATAGGGTTAAGGTTTAAAGGTTTAGGATTCAAGATTTAGGCATTTAAACCCAAGCCCACCTTAAGGGTTTAGGGTTTTAAACCCTCAGGGCTTAAGAAATACCCTAAGCCTTTGGACCCCCCTTAAGGTTTAAGCTCTATGGGCTTGTGTTTTAATGCCAAAATCTTAAACCCTAAGCCTTTCAACCTTAACCCTATGGCCTATAGGGTTTAAAGGTTAAGCGTTTAGGACCCTTAACCTTAAGGGGCCTAAACGCTTAACCTTTAGACCCTATAGGCTATAGGGTCAAGGTTTAAGGGTTTAGGTTTTAAAAGTAAGCCTATAGAGTTCAGACCCTAAGGGGCCTAAACGCTTAACCTTTAAACCCTATAGGCTATAGGGTTAAGGTTTAAAGGTTTAGGATTCAAGATTTAGGCATTTAAACCCAAGCCCACCTTGAGGGCTTAAGGTTTTAAACCCTCAGGGCTTAAGAAATACCCTAAGCCTTTGGACCCCCCTTAAGGTTTAAGCTCTATGGGCTTGTGTTTTAATGCCAAAATCTTAAACCCTAAGCCTTTCAACCTTAACCCTATGGCCTATAGGGTTTAAAGGTTAAGCGTTTAGGACCCTTAACCTTAAGGGGCCTAAACGCTTAACCTTTAGACCCTATAGGCTATAGGGTCAAGGTTTAAGGGTTTAGGTTTTAAAAGTAAGCCTATAGAGTTCAGACCCTAAGGGGCCTAAACGCTTAACCTTTAAACCCTATAGGCTATAGGGTTAAGGTTTAAAGGTTTAGGATTCAAGATTTAGGCATTTAAACCCAAGCCCACCTTGAGGGCTTAAGGTTTTAAACCCTCAGGGCTTAAGAAATACCCTAAGCCTTTAGACCCTATAGGGCTGAAAGGTTAAAGAGAGCGTAATGTCTGGGCATTTATACATTCAACGCCTATAGGGTTAAACCCTGTTAACGTTTTAGAGCCCTACAGGGCTTCAAGGTTCTGACCCTAAAGGGCTTAGGGTTATCGTTTCAATGCTGAAACCTTAAACCCTTAAGGCTTAAGCTCTAGGGGTTGTGTTTTAATGCCAAAATCTTAAACCCTAAGCCTTTCAACCTTAACCCTATGGCCTATAGGGTTTAAAGGTTAAGCGTTTAGGACCCTTAACCTTAAGGGGCCTAAACGCTTAACCTTTAGACCCTATAGGCTATAGGGTCAAGGTTTAAGGGTTTAGGTTTTAAAAGTAAGCCTATAGAGTTCAGACCCTAAGGGGCCTAAACGCTTAACCTTTAAACCCTATAGGCTATAGGGTTAAGGTTTAAAGGTTTAGGATTCAAGATTTAGGCATTTAAACCCAAGCCCACCTTGAGGGCTTAAGGTTTTAAACCCTCAGGGCTTAAGAAATACCCTAAGCCTTTAGACCCTATAGGGCTGAAAGGTTAAAGAGAGCGTAATGTCTGGGCATTTATACATTCAACGCCTATAGGGTTAAACCCTGTTAACGTTTTAGAGCCCTACAGGGCTTCAAGGTTCTGACCCTAAAGGGCTTAGGGTTATCGTTTCAATGCTGAAACCTTAAACCCTTAAGGCTTAAGCTCTAGGGGCTTGTGTTTTAATGCCAAAATCTTAAACCCTAAGCCTTTCAACCTTAACCCTATGGCCTATAGGGTTTAAAGGTTAAGCGTTTAGGACCCTTAAGGTTTAAACTCTATGGGCTGACTGTTGAACTTTTCAACCCTAAACCTTTAAACCTTAACCGTATAGCCTACAGGGCTTAAAGGTTTAGCCCACGATCCCGAAACACCGCAAAAACCAATAAGAAACATAAAAACTATGGTTTCTGAAACTACTCGGCCGGCCACCCCAGCCACTAGTTTCGAAAATCATGGTTTTTGACATGTTTTTTTTTATTGTTTTTTTGCGATGTTTTGGGAGCATGGGCTCACGAAACATCGGTTTTACTGATGTTTTTTAGAGGTAGGCCTTCAATAACATTGGTTTTACCTATGTTTTTTGAAGGTAGGCTTTCAAAAACATTGGTTTTACCGATGTTATTTTGAAGGTAGGCTTTCAAAAACATCGGTAAAACCGATTTTTAGCGTGGGACCCACGCTCCCGAAACACCGCAAAAACCAATAAAAACCATAAGACTGAGCCAGCCACTGGGATGCGAGCCATTGCGAGTATTACAAACACAAATGGTCAAGTATATTTCGAGTGGAATGTCTGCGAAGACACGTGATCTTGAGCGACGTCACGAAAGCTAATTCTGACACTTTACAAGACGTGAACCCGATTGAAAAACGATTGAAACGATTGAAAGTCAATCGGGGGCCCGATTGAAAAACGATTGAAACGATTGAAATTCAATCGGGGGCCGGATTGAAGATTGAAGATTGAAGATTCCCAGAAAAAAGGTTTCCGGGAATCTTCAATCTTCAATCTTTAATCCGGTCTCCGATTGAATTTCAATCGTTTCAATCGTTTTTCAATCGGGGGCCCGATTGAAAAACGATTGAAACGATTGAAATTCAATCGGGGGCAGGATTGAAGATTGAAGATTGAAGATTCCCAGAAAAAAGGTTTCCGGGAATCTTCAATCTTCAATCTTCAATCCGGTCTCCGATTGAATTTCAATCGTTTCAATCGTTTTCAATCGGGCTCACAATTTGAAAAGACGACCACGCACATATGAAGACTCGCACATATCAAGATTCACATGTCCATATTGAGTTTTACATGTTTAGCTAGCCCCCCACCCCCAACCCTTAAACCCTAAAACAGATCCCAAAACCATGAAAATACCTAGATCTTTGGGGGGGGGGGTACCATATATATATATATGCTCGCCCCCACCCCCACCCCAATATTCACACTTCCACTTTTCCCACTTCTCAACCATAGACCTTTTCACACTTCCACGTTCCGGGGTAGAAAAGTGGGCATGTGGAAAGTTGTGGCTTGGAGCGATCGGATGTGGAAGTGCGCGGGCTTGAAGCTGCCTGACATAGTGGCTCCTGACCCGTTTCGTCTACCACCCCCTAACTTAGCAAACTCATTTGTTTCGCTTCATTCAACAAGCCTCTTCGGCATGTCAGCTACCCATGCACCTTTTGACGAATCAAGAGCAACGTCAAGGTTTTAGGGTTTTAGAGCTTCGGGTTTGGGAGCTATGCTTCAGGGTGCAATGGCTAGCCAACAACACACGACAACGGTGGGAGGATCTTGTACATCATTCCGACTCTGCGCCTCCTTTTTACTTGAAGGTCTTCTCTTAATTTTGAGAGAACTCCGCAGCCGGGCGACCTGCGGAGAGGCCGCAGCCCAGATGGCCACGCAGGGCGCTGTCGGCGGAGGCACAGGGTCCTTGTCCACAGGCAGAGGCGAAGGCTCCATCCACTGGCCTGAAGATTCTGAAGATGAGCACTTTGTAGTACTATGAAATCACACATGCAGGGAGTTTTCTCGTGCCGTGCCGGATGTCGACAACCCGTTTTTCATTATCTCGGTCGGTACATGTGCGAGACACCATCCACGGAGTGCGCAGATGCGCTCAGCTTCTGGAGCCCCTTTGTGGCGAGCGGCCCATGCCCGGCGCGTGGATTGCGCAGATTCGGCTGAGCAGCGCCGGGTCACTCTGGATGCGCTCCTTCACGAGCCGGACGATGTGCATGGATCCTCCAACAGAAGGTTCATTTTAACAGAAGAGAACCTTCGGCGAAGTGACATGCGAAATCTGGGCAGAAAATCTACCGCTCTACACTACTTCCGTCCTTGAGAATGCCCTGCTAGAACGATGGGCCGCTCGCTGCCGACTTCGGAAAGAAACTGCTCGAAGGCCGCAAGAACATCCTGGCTCCAGACTTTTGGATTTTTCGGCGCAAAATCCCCCCCTTTTGTAGCAACTTTCGGCCCCATGATCCGCCATGATTCGCTCAGAAAAGCAGTGGCTCCCCGGTCCTGGTATGCCAAGTCCCATGAACCACCCATTGCGGCCTGCCGCGCTGCGTACTCGCACTCCCTCATCTATTGCAATTCTGAGTGCGCCCAAACAATTTTGTGCCAAAAACGAGAGGCACAAGCTCTCTTTTCAACAGACTCTCAAAGGTCTGAGCCTGGCGGTAAAGAGGAGCGTAGGCTCTGCACGCCTTAGCGACTTAGAGAAGCTCGGACTCGGACTTGGCGAATATGTGCAAAGCAAAAAAGGGAGAGGAAGAAGGAGAGGAACAGTACAAAGGAGGAGAGGAATGAGAGGAAGAGTGGAGAGTGTACGGAGAAGAGTGGGGGGAGTCAGAGTGATTCGTCTTGTCTTCCGCCATAATCGGGGGGGGGGGGAAGTGTGGGGACAAGTATGGACCCCGCAACCTACCCCCGGATTTCAAGCCACGTTTCATTCCCCCCAAGCGCCCGTCGATCTCTTGGACCAACTCTCGGAAACTGAGTGCATGCAGCGCACTGACGTGAAGGCAGTGACAATGGTCATCTGGTGCCGTGTGTTGAAGCTCTTTGCCTGAAACGCTTCCTGGCGAAGATCAATGACTTGAAAAAAGCGCAACTAACAGCTTTCTCCCGAATCTGTGACTCTGCTAGAATGGGAGTTACTTCTCCTTTAAGAAAGGAGAGAGGGCGAGAGAGGGAGACAAGGCCCCGAGAAGGCTCTTCCACAAGGCTCCAGGCTGCGCCTTGTCGTACCTATCGATGGATGCTCGATTGCCCATGCCCTCCATGGTGCCGTGCCTTGGAAAAGCACGTGCACTGGGAGAGGGGAGGGGGAATAGCACGTAGCAGCATTCCGGCTGGTTTTCTGTGCTAACTTTCACATCCTGGGTGCCTTGCAGGTAGAAGAGGTCTGCAGGCGCCTCCAACTCGCGATCGCCTCTGAGGCACCGGTGACAGCAAGGATCACACCTGTGATCCGGTGTGATGAGTCTTCGTGATAGCATTTGACTCGGATGCGAATCTCAAGCCGAGCTGCCAAATTGGTCCGTGGCCTCGCACTGCGTCGTCCCATCAGCCTGCCAACTGCAGATGGTCTTGGGCAAGTTCTCCGCAACCCTCCTCAGCAGTACAAGGGGGAGGGGGGGGGGGGGGTCACACTTGGCCAAAGCAAAACGCGACCTTCATGTGCGCCGGCCACCAGCCACCAGCCCCACAGCCCCATCCACTTCGGTCCTCGGCCAGTGGCCCGGGTGTGCCAGCCAGTACCTGCTCATGAGAGGTAAAGTGCGAACCAGTTGATGTGGGTTGATGACCAGCTCGAAAATGTGTCCCAGGCGCATTGGAAGGGAGAAGTCTGGCGGATCGCTCGACAGCACCTGCCCTTCCAAGCGGCGCCATGGCCAGAGCTTGCGAAGGCAGCCGGCTAAGCAGGAGTCCTTCGCGACAGGTGCACCCTTCGTGCACCCTTGGTGCACCCAGGGTGCACCAAGGGTGCACCAGCAAAAGCAGGCTCCCCTAAAGCAACTCCAGCGGTCCCGATTGCCCATGGTCAACAAGGATTCTCCACCAGATGGCAGATGGCGCAGGAACCCGAAGCGTGTCCGCGTGTCCTCTCCTATTCGTGAGACAATATGGGCGTCAGTTAAGAGTATCACATACAGGACTCTTTGTTGATCTTTGATCATTCTCAGATTCTATGTCTCTCTTGTAAGGCGACCTGTTATGTTGGACTGGAGCCTGACCGCAGAGATTTGCCCAAGGCATAGAATCCGACATCTAAATCTCAAGAGAATCAAAACCGTTAAGACGGGAAAGCGGTCTGAGGAGACGTCCAGCGCCCAGGCCTTGCCTGCCAAGGTGCTCATGCCCGAACACCGGGTAAACGGCTCATGCCCAAAAGCGGGGCTTTTCGTCTGGCCTGAGGAATCTCCAAGCCTCACTCAGAGGGGGGAGCGCCCTTTTGTCAAGTGCCAGGATGATCTCCGCATTTTTTGGGAAATGTCGCGTGGGGTACTTGAGGCTGCGACCTGTCGAAGGCCTCGAAAGCAGTCTCGGCCAGCTCCATTGCCTCCATGCACGTTGCAACATGGGAGCGTGGGATCTCGGGGGAAAGTCTTAGAGGTAAACTTAGGATGTGGAGGCACACCCGCGGCCCTCGTAATGCTTATTGTGTGGACAGAGTTTCCTGGAGAAACTGTTTAGTTTTTCTTGGAGTCCATCCGCCCCCCCCCCCTCCCCAAAGAGCGCGCGGAGACGTGGGAGGGCCCGAGCTCCGTGTAACTCTGCGAAGCTATGCGAAAGTCACAAAGGGGGCCTCGTCGGCGCTACGCCGCCGGGCCTCCGCCTGAGCTCTTTGTGCGATCAGCTCCAGGAGGGTTGTCCACTTCTGAGTTCGATATACACAAGAGAGAGGTCCCTGCCTCTCCCGGCCGGTACCTGCGCAACACTTCAGAGAGAGATACGGAACAAAGAAGCAAGAAGAGAGACATAAGCGAGCGCGAGACGTGCGAGAGACGAGAGACGTGCGGCGGAGCGGAGGCCTCAGCGCCGCGTCGGCCAGGCCGGCCCGGGCCCGGGCCTCTCAAAGAGGAAAGGAGGAAAGGAGGAAAGGAAGAGGCACAAGGACACACAAAGAGGAACTTGCGAGAGACGGAAGGTTCTCGCGACAAAGTTAGCTTTGAGGACGGGGGAAGAGAGAGACAAAGGAGACAGGGGGCGAGAGGGGGAGAGGGGGGGAGAGTCATCTCTTCTTTCGCTCTTGTCACCCCCGGCCTCGAGCCTGCTCAACCCGAGCTCCTGGAAGAGGCCTTAGAGAGAGAGACGAGTTCAGGGCTACTGGAAAGCCGCCGAAGCGCCGAAGGCTTCAAAAGCAGAAGCTACTGGAGCTACAAGCCGAGGCTACTCTGGCTCTTCCAGTCTGCCCTAGCTCAGAGGCTCCCAGGCGGCTGCTGCAAGCCCGCTGCCCCACAGCCATCGCCTCCGCATGGTCCTGCAACGCTGCAACGGCAGGGCGGAAGGGAATGCGCTTCTCGCCTTTTGGACACCCCTCTGAATGAGTCTCCTCCAGCCGGAGCTTCAGGAGCGCGGCGCTGTGCAAAGCAGAGGCCTCTGAGAGCACGTCTGGTGCCCGAAGGCGTTCGGTTACCGGGTCTGAAGGTGAGAAGAGTGTTTCCAGCCATTGGAGTTTCGGAACCCATCCCAAAACCCCTAACGATGAGGGCGCATGTTCAGTGTTCAGGCGCGCCTCGCCCTTCGCATCGCCCGCGGACTGGAAGAGCTGCTCCGCGGCTTCGGCGGCCCTCGGAGCCGAGAGAGCGAGGCGCTCATTTTGTCAAGGATTTACAAATTTATCCATGTGCGGATGATGGAAAAAAGGTAGGAGAGCCCTTTCAAAAGAAGAGGATCCCGGAGAAGGATCTCAGAAAGCACTCCGGGAAAGACTTGCCGGGAAAGACGTACACGTGAAAACGGGCGCCGGACTCCAGGCCCTCCTCCGCTTGATGGGCCAAGGCTGCCAGCCGTAGGCAAGCCCGGGCCTTGCACAAAAAAAAAGAGAGGGAGGCTCTTCTTACGTGAGATAAAAAGGACTCATTTAAGCTCCTCCCCTGAAAGAGGGGGGGAGCCTCGTGTGCAGCGAGGCCCAGCTCGCGGAAGTCGTCCCTCGCCTCCTGCAGATTGCCGAAGGAGGAAGCAGACAGAAGGAAAGAAGCAACAAATACATGGAAAAAAGTAACAGAACAGGAGCGAGACATCAGGAAGAGAGGGTTTAGGGGGAGAGGGAAGGATTCTGTAATGCAAGGAAAAAATTGCCACAGAAAGTAGCTGCCTCGGCGTCGCGGAGCGCCTCGTCACCTCGAAATTGTAGAGAAAAAAAGGCAGAGGCATGAAAGAGCACTGTTGCAAGAGTCCGTCTCGTCTGTATAGTCTGTAAAGATCTTGAGTACGTGGAGACGGCATGCTTCAGAAACAGTTCAAGGAAAAACCTGAAGGTCTTAACGCATCTTGACACGCAGCGCGCTTGCCTGTCACTCCGCACTCGCTAAGGGCCAGCCGCATCTTCGCGGCACCTCAAGGCAGCCACATGGTCCAAGAGTGAAGCCGGAGATGGCGAAACGCATCAGAGCCGTCGCCCCCTCGCCACGCTCCAGGCTCCCGGCCGGCCCGATCTCCGGCCTGCTCTGCTCTGCACACACAGCGCTCGCTCAGGGTTGCTAGCGCTCGAGAAACAAAACGAAATCAAGCACAACAACATCTCACAACAGATGTCAATTGGCATATACATCAATTGCACATACTTATGAATACATTGTATGTACATTATGTAATTACGCGATTGACACATTTTAGGATGTGCGCGTATTATGCTTCCAACGCGTTATGCGCTATGTCTCTCGGGCACGTGCACATGCTCAGGAGCCCGAGTAGCCCGCACAACAGCTCCCTGTGCCTCCTCGAAGAGCTTCAACTCGGGCTGAGCCAGGCCTCGGCGGTGTCGGGCTCCCTGGCTTCTTCAGCGCTTCTTATTTCTTGTGTTTAGCGCCAAGATGAGGCAGAGTCGGGGGATCGGGCCTTGAGCTAGGGTTCCTGATGCTCTTCTCTTGTTGCTTGCAGCTAAAGCTCCGGACCCGGGCCATTTAAGATTGAGCCAGAACTCTCCTGAATGCTAATGATTTCTCCGTCGAACCTCCTAGACGCTCTTCCTCCTGCTGTTCCGGGGCTGCAGCCTCGAGCCTCCGCCCGCCTGCGTTTTTTTTGATCCGTGGGGTTTGCAGCGAGTTTGCAGCGAGTCTGGGCTCGTCTTTGAACGCGCCGACTCGCGTGCTTGCGGCAGCATGCAAATTCACGGCGCCTTCCGAGCGCCACCTGCGAGGCGACGATGGCCAGCAGGGCGTCTGCAACCTCAGATTGGGCACAAGAAGAAACAGACGGAGCTGACCAGTTGGAACCCCAAGACTTGGCTTCAAAGGATGCACATCTGGGCCACGGGACGCCCTCCCCAGATCCAGCCTGGCGCGGGCGCTCGAGGGCGCATTCATTGAACCGCCAAGCCAAGTGCACTTCCAAATTTACAACTCCTACAATAAATCTACATGTGTACACAGATCGCTACAAACACGTGCAGCTCTACTTGCTCGCAAGCACCGAGGGTGCGCCTCCCGGAAGAGCGGGAGGGCTTCCGTGGCTTTTGCCAAGGCGTCGGCGCTCTCCTCGTCGCTCCGAAGAGGCGGAGAGGCCAAACGGGCCAAAAACAGCAAAACGCAGAAATCGCAGAACGCAGAGGATTCCATTTTGGCAAACCCATATGGAACCAAAAGAAGAAAAAAGCGCAAAAGCCAAAGTGTCACAAGCTTTCAAAGCTGATCGTTTTTTTAAGGCTTTGGTCCTCGTAGCGCAGTTGCTCGGCCTGAGCCTGGAGGTTCGCCGCATTTCGGAGAAGCTCCGGCTGGCTTAGATCCTCCAACGTGCGCGTTTTGCTCATTTTCCGACCTAAATAAAGTGTGGCAAAAAAATAGTACGTCGGTATGCCACATCAGTGCTTCCATCCTTCGCAATCGCCGCATAGGGAGCGGCTGCTGGACACTGGCAGACCATAAGTGAATGCAAGCGTCTGCAGTGTTGACTCGGCGTTGGCACTTCTGTGCGCAACTGTCCTAGATGCTTGCCCGGACAATGCTTGAAGGCTTGAGGGGAAGCTTCAAAGGTTTTGATCCACTGTCAGATCGAGCCGGTTCATCTCTTGCCCTGCCATGACTGGCCCAGCTAATAATGACGAGTCTGAGATGACAAAGAATCAGGCCAAGGAAGGGACGTGCAGGGATGTGAGATGATGTGAGTGCGTGCGATAGGGCTGTCAAGGCAGAACAGCGCTGCGGCAGTTTTCTGGCATCTGGTCTCGCGGATCAGGTGTAGACCTGGCACATTTGCCCCAAAGCATTTCCGCTGAGAGAAATGAAAAGAGAAATAGCTAATGCCTGGCACAAGCAGAGCCCTCCACCCGACGGAAATCCGCAGCTTCTTGCCGCCAGTGGCGGAGCAAGGAATTGCCTCCACGTCATTCCATATGGAGTGTGCTAGACAGTGCTCTCTCAAAACTCGAAACGTCGGCCTGCGAAGAAGGCCCCGGACATCAGCAGGGTGCCCTTGAAGACATGGGCCTAAGACGCGTGTGACAGGGCCCCTCACAAGGAGCGACCAAAAAAATTGAAGACAAAAACAAAAACAAAGACCTCTCGAATAGTCGGTCTGGCCTTCAGAAGGCCTTGCATCTGACTGCTCTCTGTGCGAAGTCTACGTTGTCAAATAAAGAGAGCGCGTCTCCGTCCGTGTGTCGCGTTGATGAGCTCCTTGCGGGATTGAACGCCCGCTTGCCATCGGAGGCCTTGGCTTCTTGGGGGAATTCTTGGGAGGGCTTCTGGATGTTGTGGAGGGGTCCGCAACTTCGAGTACGGCAAAGGCCCGTGGACTTCAAAGTGAGATTGAGGCTCATTGGACCTATATCATATACCCTTTGATGATACTGTGACAGAGCAGGCGTGAGGCCGCGGCGGAGGAGCCGCGACCCGCGGCCTCTGCGAAAGGAAAAGCAGCCAGTTTTGTTTCACTGCCGCTTGCAAAATGACACAGAAGTCATCTCGCGGCCTCAAGAGGCTCTTGCCTAGGGCTGCTCACAGCTGCGAGGCACCGGCCTGGTAGCTGTAGCCCTTTGCCTCCTGCCTCGCGTGAGATCGCTGCCTCTCAGGGGGTTTTTAATGCGCAGCGCAGTAGCCTCCAAGATTCTGCAAGTCTGCATCGCACGCACAGACTGGCGCGCATTCAACCGCTTGTTGCCGCCTCTCCCGGAACGCGTGGGGGTCGAAGTTCACCTCGCCCTCTTGAAACCTGGAGAGCGCGAAGTCGCAAGAAAAAACAAGCCGCTTGCCATTCCTCGATCGGGAGCTGGCCCGGCAGAGTTGCCGTGGAAGTTCCCGCCGAACCTCGAGGAGGCGCGCTGCGGGAACTGCGATTCTGACCCAAGGCGCCCACGCGGACATCTCAGCATCCCGCGCGCCAGGCTTCCAGCGTTGGCCTGGAGAGCAAGGACCAAACCCCATTTACGATTTCAACGCTTTCTCTTTCTTGCTTTCGTTGGGGCTTGGGGCGAACCCCGCGCTCTCCTCCTCCTCATCTCTCTCCTCTCCTTCTCCTCTCTCTCTCCTCTCTCTCTTCTCCCGGATGTCTGAACGCCCTCTGTTTCCCTCTCATGCCTCCGAGGTCCCAGGTCTGCTCCTCTCGGAAAGCACCTGCAAGGAGGCGATATTTCCTCTTGCATTCGCCTGCTCATGTGGGAGGGGGAGGGGGGGGAGGGAGCTCCCAAAAAGCAGAGCGGGAAGGGGCCTGGATCGGTGCTTGCCTGGTTCTGCATGAGCTTTGTGGCTTCATCATAGTCCTGGCAGCAGGCTTAGAGAAGAGCTCTGAGCATTTTGCTTGCTTCGGAAGTCGAACAAGGAGCTTTCTTCCCCGAGCACTCTGCGGCACCCAACTCTGTTCGGAGACTTTGCCTCCCGAAGACGACGGAAGTCGGCATGGGAGGCCTCGACCGAGCGCTCGAGGCACAAAAGAGGCAGGAAGCGCCGCTCTCTCAGACTGAGCGACTCCCTCGGCTCCCTTGGCCCCCCTCTACATTCCCTCTATTGTGCCGCTTCGAAGAACTTTCTCACAGCTCAGAGGCTCAGAGGCTCAGAGGCTCAGAGGCTCAGAGGCTCAGAGGCTCGGTCCTCGCCCGCAATGTCCGGGTGGAGGAGCTTGGCGCGCTTGTAGTAGGCACTCCGCAGTTCTGCCTTGCAGGGTGCTGCCCGGAACCAATCTCAACTCAACGCACGTGCAGCAGAAGAGACGCGATCAGCGCCTGGGTCGCCCCTGAATTCAGCCTGAGACGGGATATGGGAAGCCAAGTCTTCCAGGAGTCGCAGAAATCTTGGGGACGTCTTGGGGGCCCGGCTTAAATCGTCGCAAGAGCTCGCCTAGCCGCGCACTGGACATCACCAGCAGTGGCCTTCGCGGCAGCATCCACGATCATCCACACGGCTCATTTGCTCCTTTTGTCGACACTTGGCCTGGAAGCTTCCCGCTGTGTGAGGGCATCACCATGGCGAATGGCGACTGGGGGAGCATGGGGAAAAGGGGGCTGAGAGGTCCTCTACCAAGGCTCTCAAGCTAGCGGTATCGGCAGATGATCCACTTGAAATTGCAGCTGAACTAGCCGAAGCATTCAGGCTACTGAAGTGTAAGGTGCAGTCGCTGACATCACTGAAGCCACTGAGGGACCATCTCTCGTGTGCTCGGGTTGCAAGTGAGTTGAAATTCCAGAGCCAACGTGGCGCTGCTAAGAGCCCAAGAGCATGCTGAAATAGAAAACTGGCACACATTGGCACACCTTCGCTGCCTCCGACTCTCCTTTTGCTTTCGCTTTGCAGAGCCGCAGCCCATCAAAGACATCAAGACGTCGAGTCGCAGCTCTTCTGCAGCCGCATCCATCGACGCCGACGCTGCGGACCAAGACCTCCAGGAGCCCTGGGCGAGTGGCCGACGGAAACATCGGAAACGAGAAGCAACCAAGAGACGGCTCGGAAACCGGGACGAGGGAGTGGGTTTCTTGATGATCTGGCTTTCGGGACACGATTAACTCAGAGTTTCGCTCCTGCTTCACACGACCTTGACACTTCACCCCTTGATTCGAAGTTCTGAGCCACGACGCAACCAAACCAAAGGCAGCCGGCCGATTTGGCAGGAGGCAGCAAAAGCAGGAGCATCGGAAATTGCAATCACAACGTCACGGCACCGAGCAAGGAGGAAATCGTGAGCAACCATTCCAGCTTCTTTCGCGAGCATGTGGTGATGTGGTGTGGGGCTCGACTACACTTGCTCACCCGCGATGCTTCTCACACGCCTCCGGGCCAATCACAACTCCGTAGTGTTTGCAAAAGTTTGCCCAACTAGCCGTGCCGTGTGAGCATGCTCAGGCAGTTAAGCCCAACTGCCAAACCACTTGTTTACCCATAAGAATGTGCACAACACGTCCTTCATCTAACAGTCTACCTTGATGCTACCATTGTTATCTTCCTTGACAGCTGCAATGGGCCAGGGAACTTTGGAAGTTTCACATCGGGTTTTCGCTCGCCCTCAACAAGCAGGAGCTGGACTGGCTAGGGCGCGTTTGGCACCCCCCGGTGTAAGTATCAACTTGTTTCCCTTAGAGGGTCTTGCTGGACTGTGAGCTGCATGTTGGTGACCCCTTCAGAAGCCACCCCGCACTCTCCGAACTCTGAGGGACCTGCGCCGCAAAAGCCCCGCCAGACGTGCAGTGCACATGACGAGCCATGGCCTTCGCGGCAACAACTTTCATGCTGTTCAACATTGAACGGAACCCTGCCCGTGAAAAGGCGGTAACTGACATACGAGTATCGGCTGACACGGTCTGGCTAGCCAGAAGACACTGGCCTTCAAGTCGTTCAGCCTGTCTCCGCCGTCCTTCGCAGTCACTCCATCTCGTCGAGGGTCCAGCCGTTACGCCTAAGGCATGAGAAGACCAATTGTTTCACACAGCAAGAGCCTTCGGTAACAACGGTAATCTAACCAACCTAAGTAAGATGCCCTGCAGCGATAAGCTTCGCTGGATCGCAAGGGACTGTCCTGAGCTTGCTGCGCAAGTCTCTTCAGCGTACTCTGGCTGCGCTGGCTCTGCTCGTACCGGGATGCAGGCTCATTCATGAGATGCTCATTCACCTTGTTGTGCCTTAGAAGACTTAAGAGCTGCCCCAAAATAAGCACTGACCGTCGGAGCGTGGCGTAAACCTCAGGCGATTCAAGCGCCCGGCGCCTGGCACCACCAAACCTGGCAAAGAGAGCCGCACCACTTCGCGCACCTTCTCGGCTAAAGCTCCGTGGACTGCCACGGCCTCTTAAGGCACACCTCTCTGCAATCATCAGCAGCCACAGAGTGAGAAGCTGCGAGAAGCACAAGCCGGCGCAAAGTACCGAAGCAGCTGCTGCAGCCGATACATTCATTCCCAAGTCCGGCTTAGAAAGCGAAAACACGTCGGGGAAACGGCGTAGTCTTTGCGGGACTGTGTCTGCGGCGGCATGGCCTATCAAAGACGATGTATGGCTCAAGTCCGATGCCAGAAATCCGCAGCCCTGGAAATGATGAGTTGACGGTACCGAGCAGGGCCTCACAGATGTCCACAAAGTGGGATGCACAGTGTGAGCACCTTGGACTTTCAACTGGTCATTGTCACATTTTGAAAGTCGCCTGACGGGCCTAACGTCATCACACTGAGGCACCCGTCCCTTGCCCATTTCCCTCAACTCCCCCTACTTAGTCCCCTCAATTTTGAGGGGGAGCGCGCCTTAGAGAAACAAACCTTCAGGCTCCACTGGATCTGAAGGGTACACGCCCAGCAGGGTTTCCGTCTGAAAGGAAACTCGAGGGTGGAAATGCCGACCGGGAGGACATTCTGCAGGAGCACTGCGACAGGGCAGCCACTCTGCAAGCCAACCCTGGAGTCCTGCTAAGGTTGGGACGGATAGTTCTGCACAAAAGCTGTGAGCCAGGCCTGCAGCGGCAAAAGAAACACAGAAACAGAAAAACACAAGGACGGGGAACTCTGTCTGCTGAATTCTCCGCGCATGACGTTTCGGTTCAGTGGTCAAGGATGCCACGGCCACTGCTGATACCACTACTGATACCACGGTAATGTAGCCCGCATAGGGTTAACTGATGGGCAGTGGATCTCTACACATTCAGTCGAATCTCTGAGTTTTGAAGATGTTGCTTGGCTTGTTTGGTGGTCTTGTCGTCTTGATCCGAGGGAGGGGCATGTCCACCTAGTCTGGCATAAACCACCGATGACCACGTGTGTATGCGTCACTGTGTGTCGAATACCGGCGACTTGCCTGGGCCGCCTCCTCAGTCGTCTTCGAAGCCTCCTCGGGGTGCGCCGCCGCCTCACAAGTTCTCTCACGCACGCACGCATGTACACACACTACGGGACACTACAACAGTACGCTGACACTACTGCATTGTGCCAATGACAGAAGAGAACAACAACGTGTTCTCTCGCTCTCCCCTTCGAGCGTCCCAGAACGACCGGGAGCGTCTTTCTGAGGCCCCGGGCCATGGCGTGGAGGTACCTCCAAGCGGCCCGGCCGATCTCAGCACGATCCGGCGGCTCCACCTCTTGACTTCTTAGATCGAAATCGAACAATACTCTCTATACTGATGTCACTGATGTCTCTAAGTCTACCGATGATGTCCTGATTCGCGGCTCTGACACTTTGCATCACTGTCATCACTGTGCCCTGTGCGCTCGTTGCCGCGAGTTAAACAGCGAGGGGACAGGAGAATGGCGATCCAGAAGTCCGCTCTGTGCAAAGGGCGCCTCGTCGTCGTCCTGCGGCGTGTCCGACCTTCGAGGCTAACACGTCCCTCCTTGCATCTCCTTGGTCCTTGCAGCACCGCACTCCGGCCTATCTCTGCAGGAGCTCTCCTCACAACGCTTGTCCGTCCGGAACTTGTTTCGCAGGCTGGCCCTCAGCCAGGTTGAGCTAGGGAACTGCTAATCCCATTTTCTCACGCCCGCTGTTGCTCTGTGCTGTTTGTGGTGCTTCTCGTGCCTCTGAGGTCCGGGCCAGTCCGTCATGGCAAACCGCTCGCTGCAAAACTCTAAGGGGCTCTACAAGGTCTGAGTCTCCGATGTGCCCGGCGATGGCCCAAAGTCTGTAAGTGAACCCCCCCCTCCCGCCCCACCCCGTGTGGGCCCAAAAAGGAACCCCGCCCCCTTCCTGGCCCCTTTGGGCTTCTTCTTGGCACCGCTCATCCCTGAATGCAGAGCACTGTTGGACTGTTGGCAACTCTCGCGTTGTCACGCTTTCGGGGTGAAACATCTTCTTACGACTCTAGACGAAATTGGATGCTCTCGGTGTACTGTGCTAGGCAAGGCCCTGTGCTTCTGGTGGGTCAGCATGGAACTTAACATGACATCGGATGCAGGCAGCCTCATGCGGAGAAGAGCTTGGGAGGAGCCTCAGCAAAACATGCAGAGCCAAACCCCCATAGAAAGAGCTACACTCACATGGCTCACCAGGCTCACCTCCGTACGCATCTGTGTGCATGCATTTAATGATGGGGCGTTGTGGTAGCGTGCTAAGCTTTGGTTCATCACAACTGCGTATGGTGCAGGTCATCATGAAACGCGCAGGGTAGATTCGTAGATTCGTAGATTGCGGTCTCCTTCCGTTCGGTCCCTCTTAGTCCTTTGCCTTCTCCGCCTCGGCCGGAGCCGGAGCCACCGGCCTTGGAGAGCAGTGGGAAGACACGCGGCTTGGGGGTATTGGAGTTTGGTGAGAGGCAGCTAGCAGTTCTCCCACACTACTCACTACTCTCTTACTCTGCCTTTGACAGGTTCAGTTGGCTCTCTCTTTGCGTTCTGGCCTCTGAACCCCGCAGAACCACGGCCCCCGTTCTCTGGTCCCCTTCCACTCGGCTCTTCGCCCGCTCGCCGCGCCGGGGCCCATGAGGTGCGCCGGCAGCGGCGGCAGCCCGCCTCGGAGACTCCCATGCGAGAATGTGTTAAATGCATACACACATATGTATGTATATATATGTATATATATGTATATATATCCCCGGTATCACATTCTATCAGAACACATCGTGGGGATCCTGGATAATTCAGGGCCACTCCCAGCCGCCCAAAAGCACATCAGTGGCCCGCAGCAGCCCCCCGATTGTTCAACCCCTCTCGGGGTGCGGGCGCGGCTCGGAGCTCCTGCCAAGCCAAAGAACAAGTGTGAGACGTTCGAGGAGAGAAACTCACGCATTGCAACCACATTCCACGTCTAAGGATGCTGGGAGCTCCCGGTCACCAATGGAAGCTTCTCGGTGCGTTGGCCTCGAAAGCCCCCCAACTGCCACAAAAAGCATCCCAGAGCCGCATGACGTTCGCATTACGTTCGCATGACGTGCGAGATCCGGAGATCGAGAGCCTTTGCCAGACTTGAGCTGCTTCGGCGTCACCT